TCTCCGTGGTACAGTGGTAACGCGCTCGCTTAGTGAGTGAGAAGTCTCGAGTTCAAATCCCAGTCGAGGAAACATTTTTTTGTGTGTTAAATTCTTTTTTAAGTGTCTTTGTTAAAGAAGTAGCCATGATATGCAAGGATAAAGTGTGGCTATCGTAAAAAATGATCATAAATGATTTTTTGATGCAACTCTAGTTATGCAGAATTCCGTGTGTATCAAACTCTGGTGCCTTGCAAAATGAATTACAATACATAAAAATAAACTTATACAGGAAAATGCATACAGATATACAGTACGATTTAGATTGTGCAAAGATCAGAAAATACCACAGAAATTGCAGCCCTTTGATTCTTTATAAATATACATGCTTATATTAAGCTCCAGGATTATTTACATCTGTGTTAAACAACAGTTAAAGTCGTAACAAGCCCTAATTTAGAATAATATGGTTTTCTTCAGGCTTTTCACATATAAATTCACCGTGGCTGAAGGGTTTTCGGGCTCGCTTAGGAAGCGAGACGTCTGGAGTTCAAATCCCAGTAAATGTAATTTTTTTTTCAAATGGTTAAAGTCAAATAAACATTGGATTGAATATCAGTGTTGCAATTAGTCTTATAGCCAATTTACTACAATTAAAACGCTGGAAAGCATTGGTGGCACTATATATATAATCTCACAACCTGCACCTTTCTTACATTCTGAGACCCAAACAAATTCAGCGCCTTCTGTGCTTTGATTTATTATTTGAGTCGTGCCCATAAAATGCCAAAGATTAACTAAGACATTACTCAGTGAGGTAAATTACATATGCCACTATTATGACAATAAATAAAATTAGTTTAAGTTTGATATTGTTTTGTTGTTGTCCAAAATTATTGTTATTTTTGTCTAAATATATCATTTACTTATTCATTTTTCGTCTCATCTGTGTACAATTACATGTATTTCAAAATAAAAGATAAACATTACATTGTACATAGCTATTCTTTAAGTAGAATTACAGGAGACTTAAGATATTTTACATATTTTACAATTAAAACCATATTCTGTCATGTTATGGGCATATGTATGTGTATATATGAAATATATGCACATATATATGCAAATACAGTACACATTAAAATTAAATGCATATTTTAACATCACATATTATTATATAATCTATAAATAGCTTTAAAATGCCTTTCCCAGATAATTGGCTAACAAGCAACTTTTTGTAAAAAAAATAACAGGTCAATGTCAGAGTATATTTACTGTTTTTTTCCCTAAAAATAGATTTTCAGAGTATATTCACCGGTTTTTCTTCTAAAAATAAATTTTCTGGAAATCCCTAAAATATGCGTGACTTTGACGTGATGTCAAGCCAAGTTTGATGTTATTATTCTGAAAAAACGTTGAGTTGGGTGTACATGAGAGTCAAATTAGTCTATTTTAGTTACCGTTTTTCATTTTTAAGGACAATAGGGATAAGTATACCAATGAAAGGGCCAAATTACAGAAACACTAGACAAGCTTCCGTCGTATGCAATGGCAGATGTGATGAGCCATATAACAGCTTTTTATAAATTATATAATAAAACAGATATGTACTTTTTAGCTGTTGAATATGATGTGATATGTACTGAAAAATTAATATTGACCTCGGCTATCACCTCGGTAAATATTAATTATTTCTTACGAAGGTTTTAATATTTTGGACAATCGAATAAAAATGGATTTCATTTTCGATGACATGCATGTTATACATTGTTGACATCGGAACTCCATTGTGCCTACCACTTGCAATTTCTAGATTATGTAATGGTAACCGAAATTGCGTCAGTTGTACTCACGCGATTTAGGTATTTTTTCATGTTCGAGGTCGTACTTATACATACTGTATGTTTGTAGTTTACTTGAATTATTTATTTCTGAATACAAAATTGGTTATACACAATTTGTATCATAGTTTGGAGACCTTTCTGTTGAAAATGTGTCAGGGTTAAATCGTTTACATATACATGCACAGTGCGTTAACTGGAGTGCAGGTATTAGTTACCCGCACTCCAGAGCATGCCCATTGATTGGCTCATTTTTGCTGGGGTTTACATATTGTGACGACAGTGAAAGTGAAATCGACAGAAATGTCATATTTAGATGCTCGTTCATTGGTTCATTTTTGCCGGGGTTTCATATTGTAACAACAGGGAACGTGTTTTTATGTTTGACTATGATACAAAAGAGAAAGAACACCAAAACACTCGGTAATCTGATTAATACTCGGGGGGCTACGCCCCCTCGTACAAATCAGAAAACCTCGTGTTTCGGTGCTCTTTCTATTACGTATATCTAATTTTCTTTTCTTTATAATTTGAAATGATATATTGATTTTGTTTTGCTATAGCCATATAAAGGAAAAACATATTCCGTCAAGTATTTGATACGCCCATTTTTTTTCCGTTATACGATATGTTTTTATTGACATGTTCTTTCATTACATTATACATTTTTCTCATTAATGCATTATTTTCTGAGCCAATATTTAATCATAATAATTTTGCGTTGTATTCTCATCGGATACCGTCACAGTTCTACGTAGAGACCATATAGACTACTTGATTTTTAACGCTTAGTGTCGTTCTTTGTATAACGCTCAATATCTTTGCACTCATAATTGCCTATTATTTCGGCGCCACCAAAAGAATAGAATAGTTAACATTTTTGTGTAGATAGGTCTATTTTATATAAAACAACAAAGTAATTATGTACAGTAAATAACGAATGTTAAGCAAGCTTCTTTTGTGTACTATTGATGTGACCGTTTTTGAATAAAGTAATTCCTAGACATTTTAATGATGTCACTACTTCAAGTGGGATACTTAAAAAAAGAAAAGTGTATGTAGTAACACGAACTTATTCGATAGTCAGATTTTTGTTTTGTTAGTGTTTATCTTTTAATTCCAACTATTGCAATAATTTTGAAAATCATTAAGTAATGACTGTAGCGCTTCCGGCGAATTTTCAAAAGTACGGCATCATCGGCAACAATGAGTATGAACAATTTTATTTCATCGACAGTAAAAATGTCGCCAATATTATCGTCGAAACTGGTTTACATATAATTTACCAAGAATAAAAGTAATAGAATAGAGCTGGGATCTCCCTGTTTCGCGCCGATGTTTGATTCAAAAAAGGTGAAACGCGTAAAAACATATCTTACAGCTGCTTTAACAGTTCAAAACATACATTGGATAACTTTAATGCATTTAGAATCTGCCCTTTTTTAAAAAGCTTTTTGAAATATAAATGACCTTCCTAAATTGTCAAAACATTTTTTCAAAATCTATGAATGCACAGTATAGCTTTTTACGAGAGCACAATGACTTGAGTTGAATGTTGATTTTCCCTTCCGGAATCTATATTGAGTATCAATGATTTTGTTTTATTTGGCAGACTATTTTGTTAGACGATTTAATAAGACTTGATAATATATTTTTGCAATGATATTTTTAAGTTTTATCCGTCTGTATTTCTTTTTGCTTCATTAATTAATGTCCCCTCCGTTGAAAATTGGTACAATGATTCCTGACCCCTAGAATGTTGGGTATTCTCCAGATTCAAAAAATCTGTTAAATAATTCTAGTATTATCTGTGAAATAAATGGAAATGAGTGTTAGTATATTTCCGCGATCAATGTATCAGTGCCACTTCTTTTATTATCATTTAGTGAATAGATCGTTTTTATTTTTAACGTAGTTTTTTTTACAATCATGGTCGTCGTCAAAATAACCACCGAGTTCCTGATTGATCAATTGTGTATTATCTGAACAGTATTAATCAACTTTTTGAAAAATATATAAATCATCAACATCAAGAATTTCTGCTGTTGGCTGAGATTTAGAGTATTGTTCTTTGTCTTTTCCGAAATTGAGGAGGCTCAGATTTGCTTAAAATATTAAGATTGGTTTTCTCTTTTAAATTATATGAGTTGTATACGTTTGATCTTGTTATAATTACTTTTGCATAACCAAACTCTTGTCTATCGTGAAATCGTTAAATTGAATTCGTAAAGCTGAATACGTGAAATTTTATGAATTCAAAAACTTCAAAATGTGAATTTGTAAAGATGAAAATGTTAAAAACAAGATCTAGAAATATGAAATCGGGAATTCATGAAGTTAAAATGTACCTACAGGTCTCTCATTGGTTTCTGTGTTTCCTTATCATTTTGGTTTCAATTGGCGTAGTTATCGTCACTGTTGTTGTTGTTGTTGATGATGTTGTTGTTGTGTATATTTTATAGTTATCTCTAGAATCCATAGATATAGAATCATATTTGCATTATAACATGTAACTCTTCAGTATTGGAGCAAATAAAGATATGCATTCTGTTGAGCAATTGTGATATATCTTTGCGCGATTCATTTTTCAAAAGATATTTTTAACTGACATCTCGTCAATGTATCTAATAGCTACCATGGCGAGGTCATTCATTTTGTTGGGAGGTCATAATATTTAAGAATATTATTCAACGGGAAGTCAAGATTGTTTTTAATGTAATGACCGGTTGTCAAAAGTGGGTGTCAAATACTGCTTCACGGTGTCAAATACCGTTTTTAGGTTTTATTCACGGTTATATATCAATGCTTTAAGATAGAAAAGTTTGTGAAAGTTCTGGGAATGTAAACCAAACCGAATACTTGGTTGTTATGCATTTAATGAATTATAGAATTATAAACAGACGCAACATAAGAATGTTTTTAGATTGGACGATTCACCTATGATCAATAACAAGGGCATGTTTCATGCATTTGATGTTAACCAGCCTTACTCGTAAATATAGCGCATATGAATCATAGAGACGGGACTGTTCTGTGTTTAAGTTACGGTCGTTGTTTGATTTTATTTTATATAGCTGTGATAGATTACAAAAATATTTTACTTTTTATACGATGGCCTCGACTGTGGGAATTATAATTATTTACGCTGTCTTATTCTCAAACAAATGCAGTTCATTTGAAATGAGCAAGGACAATCTTAATAAAGCCTTGATCGGTCATTCCGTGTTAGAAGTTAATGATAAAAACCATCACGACTGTGCGCGAACTTGTATGTCAATGTCCGTCTGTAAATCGTTCGACTTTGACAGAAACGAGCACGTGTGTAAATTAAACGATGTTGACCAGTCATCCGCTGATCCATTGGAGTTTGAAACAAAGCGAGGCTCTATATTTTCTGATATCAGCGAATGGCCTAGCGTAAGTCTCTCAATTGATACAATATGTACAATTGTTGGAAACGGAAATGACACATTTTTTTTAAACCTCTCTTACATGTGAGGCGTATAGTGACATATGCATTTTTTTCACATGTTTGGAACGGTAATAATATTTTCATGACTTACATTTTATTGTGCAAATGATAATGTTTCGAGGAATCATCTCAGAAGTTTCTCTTCCACTCAGTGCCAATAATATAAAATCATAGGTAGAGCTTACCTAATTGTGTCTCATTTATAAATACACATTTTAATATAAGTAGTTCTTGTAATTCAACAAAACAATTAATAAATGTTACTTATATTTTCCTTCTATTTATAGAAAATGGTGGGAAGTTGTGGCTCAAGGCCATGTAAAGCGAACCAAATGTGTTACCAAGATGGTGCTTCACATGTGTGCAAAGACATAAGTATAAAAAAACTTTTATTTTTACACTTTTACTTGTTATTGAATAAAATGCTCTATAATATTTCAAGAAATATTTACGCAATAATTTTTGTTTGATAGATGTCATGTTCTAAAAAGTATAGTCCTTGAAGACGTGTACAAAAGTAAGCAGTAGGAAGAGGACATTTCTGAAATCCGCCCTACTGATACTTTTGCGTATTGAAGGAACTCCACTGATGTCCAAAGTCTAAAAATCATAAAATTAGAACTTTTTATGTAGGTCAACTGGAACACTTAAAACAGAAAGACATACAAATAATAGTTAACAATTATAATCAGACATCAAGTAAAAATCGTATATTTGTGCTTTTCTTAGCCTTATTTAAAGAAACTATATGTTGACATAGATATGACATAGGATACTTAATCACGATTTGCACTAAAATCGTTATATTTTCAAAACTAATCATTCAGAAATTGACCTTTTATTTGTAAAGTATTAACTATTGTTTAGACAATATATTATTATTATTATTATCATTATAATTATTATTATTGTTATTGTTATTATTATTATTATTATTTCCAGCCTGTTCTTTTGATCAGAAAATTGAAAATGGTGAAATAGTGATTGTCACTCCTGACGAAAACAAGTTTCTCGACGTAGCTCAAGTAAAATGTGACGAAGGATATGTTCCTAGTCAACAAGAGGTGAAATGTGAGGCTTCGGGACAATGGCAGTCTGCAACGTGCACGAAAGAAAAATGTAACGTATTTAAATATTGCTTTTTTTTCTTGTCTTAATATTTCATCTAATTAAGCCATGACGGCAGAATAAAAGCTGTCTTACTGACGAGATCGTCTTTCAAAGCGTTTAATTTGGCACTTATAATGCTTAATTTTATTATCTAAATGTATAAACCGAAAAATAGAGAATATATTGAATGGCGCCTTTTAAGCAATTATTTTTTAATTTCATCAAGCTATTGATTTTGTTTTTCCCAAAGAGTTGAAAAAAAAAAAAACAAAAAAAACAAAAACAAAAACAGACCGGTACATTTGATTACTTCAGAATTAACACAGAATATCACAAACGGAATATCATATTTTTGAATGTTAAAATTACTATGAAAAATAAAAAAGAATAATTAGATGATTACTTTCTTCCCTTTTTGTATAATGTATAAACATTATTACAAAAAGTATATAATAGATAAATGTCACTTTTGTTGTTTTTAGTACACAATTAATGGAATTCATTGTAAAATCATTTGCATGAATCACTCGTTCTTGTTTCAAGTATTGTTTTGATCTTTGCTTAGTACCAAGTGATTGTAAAGAAGTCCTTGATAAGTTTCCTGATGCTAAAAGTGGACAATATGAGATAGAACTTTGGACATCTGGGAAAATACTGACTGTGAATTGTGACATGGACGGTGGTTGGACGGTATGTAGATTCTTTTATTCCGATGTTTGATCTCTCCTGGTTCACATACTCACATGATACCACTCATTTAATTCGTGATGTGATATTTTTTGTTCATTACGAATAACCAGTCAAATAGTGCCAAATAGACGTCAATATCAAAATGCATTTTATTCCAATATTCAGGCATACTTTCGATGTAAAATTAAACAGAGTACTGAGTACTGTATATTTGTTTGTTTTATTTCTCGTTTAACTACAATTTCGATAGAATATATTTCAACACTGACATATGACATATAACCTGACTTTAAATAGACACACACTTAGCATAATTTTGAGAAATACTTATATACATAATTCGTGAGCGCTCCACATGTTTGCGTTTCTTCTAGATATTTCATAGGCGAATGGATGGGTCAGTGGACTTTTATCGCAACTTTACAGATTATGAGAATGGCTTTGGGAACATTGATGGAGAGTTGTGGCTAGGTATGAAATCCTTGTAGCACTGGCATTTTAAAACAAATTTAGTACAGTTCTAAGGTACAACATCAATGCAATTAAATAAAACACTTTAAAGCTTTTGTTGAAGCGTAACGTGAAGATGGGTTTCTTTACGATGGAACGAATATTTTGGTTACAGTCAACAAATAGTTTAATTGGCAAATAAACTTAGAATATTTCTTGTTGACCATAATGCATTGCTTATATAAGTTGTTGAAGTGTATTGGTAAACATATTAAGTTGATGAAGTCAATTGATAGACATATGTTGTTGAAGTATTTTGATAAAAATAAGTTGTTGAAGTATATCAATACACATATTGAGTTGTCAAAGTTTATTAATAAGCGTTATATAGTTGTTGAAGTATATTGATAAACATAAATTATTGAAGTTCAATTCATTAAACAACCTGCCAGGTTTCAATGTCACTAAATGGATCGCAATGTTTTAATGATTGTAATGGTTTTTTATTTTGTAAAATGAAATGTTTAAGACATAATTCTACTAAAGATCTTAGTAAATTTCTAAATATTTATATTTACATTTGATATATTTTGACAGGTTTGAAGTATATACAAGAACTAGCTGAACAAGGTTCTACAGAGATTCGTCTTGACATGACAAGAAATGATAGTACAACAGGATATGAAACTTGCCCAGACTTTATGTTAACAGATGGAACAAATTACACACTAAACATTGGGTTATGCACACGTTCTGGAATGAAATGTAATTTATGCTGACAGTTTTTTCTTCTTTTCTTATATATTTTGCTCGCTTAGCTAAATGAAAGCACAACAGCTTTAAAACCCATACAAAAAACCTCAATTTTCATAGAAAAATTTAGACTAGTAAACAGAATCCCTCACGACTTTTTGACACAATGTTTGACTTGCGATGTTACATAGATTATACTCTTTTAAAAGGTAAGTAATGCCTCAAAAATGTTTTTATTTTTGTTTCTCAAAAGCTTTATATTTTCCCCCAAAACACGAGTCATTCGCTGATAACATGAACCATCTGTTTCATCTTTTGGTTTTGGCAATAAGTACAGACATGTACGGAATATTATGTTGTAGTAGCTTTCTGAGGCTTTGTAATTTTCCACGAGCAGCGGTGGAAAATTGATATCTCGAGAAAGAGCGAGATATCAATTTTCCAACGTTGCGATCAGATTGCCGAATGTTTTGATGTTCTTTCTCTTTTGTATCATCATCAAACATAAAAAACACGTTCCCTGTTGACACAATATGTAACCCCTGTAAAAGTAACCAGTGACCGAGCATTTTTACCTTTCTCTGCCGCCACAATAAGTAAACCCCACAAAAATAAGTCAATCAATGGGCATGCTTTGGAGTGCGGGTAACTAATACCTGCACTCCAGTTAACGCACTGTACATGTATATGTATACGATTTAACTCCAACACATTTTTAACAGAAAGGTCCCCAAACTATGATACAATAATCAGATTGGCAAGTCCTATCTTATTTATACCAGATCCAATTCATGTCTGAATTTTTAATGTATATATTTTTTTCGCTTGATATAAAATATTAAATGTTTCTATACTGTAAATTAAGAGAAAGTCTTTCGGTGTTCGTTTATACATAATATTATGCTAATTTCAATGTATTTGTAAAGAAAGCAGTAATTATGCACAATTAAACACTTAAAAATTTCTACATTCAATAGATGACTAATAAAACCGGTCTCTGATAGAGCAGTTTCCCACTGACTGGTTAAGAAGACCAACAAGCTAATTGGCAAATACTAGTACTTGTAAGTTCTACTGGCCTGATATTGGACCTGCTATGCCATTATATAAAATACGTATTGTAACGATTGTATATAATATCTTCGATGAACAAAATGATGTGTTTGGTATGATTGTGGGAATTATAACTTGTTGTTTATGAAATTTAGACTTGTCAATTGTCATAACTTAATGTGACAATGACAGTGCTAGAACTAATTAATATTGTCTTTTTATTCCTAGATGCAGACATTAGGTATGGCTTTGCTTATAATAATCAAACGCCATTTACAACTTACGACATGCTAAATAGGAAATGCGCCGAGGAGAGACATGGAGCCTGGTGGTATTCTGGATGTACTTATATCAATCTAAATGGATACTATGCGACGCCAGGCACGTTATGTGAAATTCCCGGTGCCGTCAAAGGTAATTGTGGACACTGGCATTATGGGATTGATAAACTTTTGTCATTGAGAACGTCATCAATGATGATAAGAAGAAAATAAGATAAGTAATCTACGGTGGCACAAAAGTGACATGTGTGTATTTTTACTTATCTCGTGGCCCTGAGATACTATGTCGTGGCCACGAGATAGCTAAGTCGTGGCCACGAGATACGATGTCGTGACCACGAGTTACTAATTCGTGGCCACGAGATAACTATGTCGTGAACACGAGATATTATCTCGTGGCCGCGAGTTACTATGTCGTGGCCACGAGTTACTTGGTCGTGACCACGAGATAGCTAAGTCGTTGCCTTAGCTTTCTCATGGCCACGACTAAGTAACTCGTGGCCATGACATAGTATCTCGTGGCCACGAGATAAATAAAAACAAACACATGTCACCTTTGTGCCACCGTAGTAATCAGGAAAAGATTTCATAAATTCAGAGCATTGAATGATCGTACTCAAAAGAACATTTTTATAATGATCAGATTTTTTGTATCAGGCATGGTTTTATAAAAGTGTTATCGCTGTGGAATATTTACATTTTCAGTTATTTTCAGTTACCAGATTGGTGACTTAGTATCACATATAGCATATTATCACGTGACATCATATTATCACGTGACAGCATATAACCATGTTTCAACATTAAATCACGTTCTCGAATATAACTATGTTACATCATAAAATAACGTGACATCATATAATCAGTTGAAATATCATCATCAGACAATATTTAACTCTTTTTCAGCAGGTAAACACGTTACAAAACGAAATGACAAAAAAAACAAACATTTTTTAAAATCCAACATTTGTGTTTGTTTTTGTTCTGTTAGATTTTTTTTAATTAAAACTATTCTCAATAAAATCCTGGAGGCATTGTCATATTTTACATTGAACACAACTTTTTTTGTGTTTTCTACACAATTAATGTGTTTTATTAATAAACATAAAATAGGCTACTGTAAGAGTGAAGAAATTTTTAAAAAAAGCCTAGCACAAAACGATCAGTTTTAGTTTTATAAAACAATGAAAATGAAATCAAAATCATTTGATCCCTAATCTTTTCTTTGTGAACAGGGGGCCTGACCAAAAGGTACTAGGCCAAAACAGTTACTAGTATACATGCAGTTTCTTAGTCTACAGTCAATTAAAAAAGTGTCGAAGTTAGACAAAATGTGAAATAGCCTGAGGGAAACCACAGGGATAAGACTCTTGGATCTGATAGTATCCGTTACTGCTACCCACTCGCCCTCCCTTCAGTCCCTGTTACCCCCCCCCTCCTGCCCCCCCCCCCCCCCCCCAAAAAAAAAACAAACAAAAAACAAACAAACAAAAAAAAAAAACACACAAATTTGACAAAAAGTAGTCCAATCACTAATACAAGCAGTTTTGATATTATGTATTATCATTCATCAGTAAATTGCACCATGGAGTTGAATAGTATGTATATCTGTGATTACACGTATCTTTTTGCATAATCACACATATTTTTATTGTATTCTGTATGGTTATATCATTTATATTTTATACATATTTTCATCGTTTATGATTGGTATGGGAAAATGGTAAAATCAAATTTAAAATTTTATTTTTCTGTATTAATAGTCTAGATCAATACATGTATATACTTTCATGTTGAGTGGCTATTCTGTTAAAATTGTTAAACAATTGAACAATTGTACTATTATCTCGACTATTCGATTAAAAAAATAAGTAGGGCTATTGCAGTAACCCGAGCATTGGCGTCGGCGTAACCACTAATGTTTAAGTTTTTGTAATACTTCAATTTTTTTCAAAGTCCATTGACATATGGCTTTGAAACATTGCATACTTGTTCACCATCATAACCCAACCTGTAGACAGGAAGAGGTAACTGTATCAAGCATTTTGCCTTTTTCATCTTAGAAATTACATTTAAGTTTGCATACTACCTCAGATATTTTCATATTTCATTGACATCTTGCTTTGAAACAAGTTGAAATTGTATACACTTCTTTATGAGCATAATAGGACTCTGCCTAGAACATAGATTTGTAATAAAAAAGCCATTTTGTGAACTTAGAAATTTTTACATTATCAAGGCTCCTTTGCTTTCAAGCACTTAGAATTGTCGAGGGTTGCTATCCTACCGACAGCTCTTGCATATATGCTTCTACATCAAACGTGCTAACAAATATATACTTTCATCGTTCATCATGTATACTTATTGTGTAAAAAACTGTAAAACAAATGTCACTATATTTCATGCTTCTATGTTAAATACCTAGACAAATGCATACATGTACATGTACTTTCATGTTGAATAATTGTTGTGTGAAAACTGTAAAACAATTGTTTAGTATATGCTTCTGAATTACATGCATGGAAATATGTAATAGAAAGAGCATCGACACGAGGCTATCTGATTTGTACGAGGGGGCGTATTCCCGAGTATAAATCAGATCGCCGAGTGTTTTGATGTTCTTTCTCTTTTGTATCATAGTCAAGCATAAAAAAAGTTCATTGTTGTCACAATTAATATGAAACCCCAGAAAAAGTAATTAATGAACGAGCATCTGCATGAATATGAAATTTCTGTCGCTTTCCCTTTCTCTGCTTATGTATACGATTTAACCCTAACACATTTTCAACAGAAAGGTCCCACAAGTATGATACAAATATTCTTTTATAGTATATGGTTAGTATGTGAAACTTGTAAAGCAGTTATATATTTTATGGTTCTATATCAAATGTATTGACAAATATATACTTTCGTTGTTCATGGCGTACAAAATTGTGTGAAAACTGTAAATCATTGTATATTGTATGCTTCTTCATTAAACATCTAGAAAAAAATATTCTATTGGTGTCTGTTTATGATTGCTGTGTGGGGACTTATATCGATTATCTATTACTACAAGAAAATAAAACTTTTGAGACGTATTGTCTGTGCATATATTATTTACCGAACTTCGGATCTCTATTTCCGGTTGAATTAGATGTGGTCAATAACTTACAGCAGGTAGCACCTTTTCGTCTGCAAAAGTCAACGGTATTTTTGTATAGTAAGATTAGATAACTAGATATAAGTTAAGCACTGAAAATTCTATATTTGTTAAGTTCTTCCCAAAACATAAAGCTACAACTGGACAGATAACAGGCGCAGGAATGCAGTTAATGATTTAATATAGTCTATACACATGTATATTCACCAAAAGGTATCAATCGATGTAATTAAGACAGCCATAATGTATTTAAATTTAAACTAATCTAATTAAGACTGTGATATCAACTTGAAATATCAACCGGCTTAATAAAACCTGTTATTTCGTATTTGATTATACATGTAGGTTGCAAAGGAACACTAAAAACTACGAACTTCTTTGCATCAATCATTTCTTTACTGACAGTAAAACAAATTATGACATAAAAAGCAAATGCCACTTCAAATACAAGCTACAAAAAATGCAATCACAGCTGCAATGGCGCACGGTAAACGCATGACGTCCACGTCACCGTCATAATTTTACAGCGTCATACACGTTTTCACAACTTTTTAAAGTATTCCCCATTAAATTCGATGCATCGCCTGTGGCGGTCAACCCACTTCCTAAATATGACGCTATAAAAGTCACTTAATTGGTATATTACGAATAATTCCAAACACTGCATTCTGAAGATCATGATATTTTACGAACTTTCGTCCCTTCAACCATTTTATTTATACTGTAATATTGTATTTGAATAGTAATTAAGACTCTCCTATTACATTTTAAAATTCAAACAATCTTATTCAAGATGCGATATAATCTTAATGTATCAGACCATCTTTAAATAATTGATAAGTGGTACTTTCTTTAAATATAATCTACTTCAGATAGTCAGACTGTTATCTCTCCCTGCTTTAATAATAACTGCTTTTTATAGATCAGATGTCTTGATTCCAAGGACTTAATAAGAGCATGATGTAATAAAGGTCAAATGTCTTGATTCGAGTTATCAATAAAATGATGTAATACATCATATAGGTCAGATGTCTTGGAGTTATTAACAAGAGCATGTAAAGGTCTGTAATACAGGTCAGATGTTTTGATTCCGATTTATTTATAAGAGCATGATCTTATATAGGTCAGGTGTCTTGATTCCGAGTTATTAATAAGAGCATGATGTAATAAAGTTCAGATGTTTTGATTGAGAGTTATTAATAAGAGCATGATGTAATATATGTCAGATGTCTTGATTCCGGTTTATTAATAAGAGCATGATGTTATATAGGTCTGATGTCTAAAATCCCAGTTATTAGCTTGATGTAATATACATGTAGTTCAGATGTCTTGATTTAGAGTTATTAAGACGAGCATGATGTTATATAGGTCATATGTCTTGATTCAGAGTTATTAATAAGAGCATGATGTAATATAGGTCATATGTCTTGATTGAGAGTTATTAATATATAAGAGCATGATGTAATATAGGTCATATGTCTTGATTCCGAGTTATTAATAAGAGCATGATGTAATAAAGGTCAGATGTCTTGATTGAGAGTTATTAATAAGAGTATGATGTAATATATGTCAGATGTCTTGATTCAGAGTTATTGATAAGAGCATGGTTTTAATATAGTTCAGATGTCTTGATTCCGAGTTATAAATAAGAGAATGATGTAAAAGAGCTCAGATGTTAGGATTCCGACTTTATTAATAAGAGCATGATGTAATATAATTCAGATGTCTTGATTCCGAGAGATAAGTAAGAGCATGATGTAATAAAGGTCAGGTGTTTTGATTCTGAGTTATATATAAGAGCATGATGTAATGTAGTTCAGATGTCTTGATTCCAAGCTATTAATAAGAGCATGATATAATATAGGTCAGATGTCTTGATTCCGAGTTATTCGTAAGGGCATGATGAAATATATGTCAGATGTCTTGAGTCTGTGTTAATTATAAGAGTATTTTGTAATATAGGTCAGATGCTTTGATTCCAAGTAATATATAAGAGCATGATGTAATATATGTCAGTTATTTTGATTCAGAGTTATTAATAAGACTTTTTGTCATATACACTAACAATAAAAAAAAAAAAAGGAGATGTCAGACTGGTAGAACACTCAATGTTTCTTAGTTCTTAACCTACTGGGACCAAAAATGACCAAGCTCTATACTGTTGGTAGTAGAGTTTTATGATTCTTTGATGTTGCAATCCCTTAATATTTACATGGGATGATTTAAATTAAGATCAAAGTGAATCCATTTCACAAAATTAATTCTGTATGTTAAAGGGTTTAAAATAAGACAATGACTTTGCAGAAAGTTATTTAGTAAACAAAGGGGGATAATTCACTAAAACACAACATGAAGTTCTGTGTCTTGGTCAGTGATCAATAACTATAATTATAAAGATATGTGTGAAGTTTCAGGTGAAAATACCTTACCATAAAGAGAACTTAAAACACTAATTTTCGAAGTGAACAGAGGAATATAATTCAGTTGATTATGATTACTTTTGTAATGGGTCTTAGGGGCGCCTGTGGCTGAGTGGTTAAGGTTGTTAACTTCAAACCATAATACTCCTCACAGCTGTGGGTTCAATACCTACAGGCACTTTGAATTCTTTTGTGTGAGAAAGCTATCCACAAAGCTTAAAGAACTGGTTCTAATTGGGTGCTGTCTGAAATAACGCACAGCACGGCACCTGAGGTCTTCCTTCGCAGCTCACAGTACGACCTACACTCTTGGTGTGATGTAAAACCAAGCTCCCCAAAAATAAGTTATGGGTCTTATGCAGTTATCTACATCTATGAACCAGAATACAACTGTGAAATTTCAAGTTAACAATATCTGTAATATTGTAAGTTTAACAAATTGAGAAGATTAAAAACAATACGAATAATCAGTAGGTACATGTATTATAGCATTTTATTTGCATTTTAAAGAATCTGGTAAGAAAAATAACAGTAGCATTTTAACAAATATCAGAGACATTTTCTTACAATAAACAAGATAGAATATAGATATACGTGCAATAAAATGTAACCTTATTCTCCTGTCTTTGTCCAACTTTCAATATTAAAACTTTAAAGGGAGTCCACTCAGGTTGTTTTGACATAATGGGACAGGAAATGATTTTTCAAGCATAATTTTCCATTTGATGTAGGTCTCAACAAATACAATGTGTGAAAATTTTCAGATCATTTGCTCACTCTGTAGACTAATTACTCTTAACTGTTAACAATGATCCAAAATTTCACTCATATCCGGCTAAAAATAGCACAAAAATATAATTTTTAATTCATTTCTGAGTATATTCCTTAATCTTTCGAGTAACTATCTGTTTTAAGTGCTGCAGCTGATCCATGTAAGAGATTCCAATTTTATGTTTTTTACACTTTTAAACCTCAGTTGAGTTCCATTAAAACTGAGCAGTCCTTATAACACTATAGTGTCTTGTAAAACTGAACAGGTGTGCATGCTGTCTGCAGTAGAGGCTTAAAGTGACATGCACATTTATTTGCTATCAATATTTGCCATCAAGTCCAGAATAAATTTCAAGAAATTGACTTTTATTGATCAATAAATGATAATGAAGAAATATTTTGGATAAAATATTTTAAATACCAATATTATAAAAAGACTGCCCTGCTCTTTTTTAAAATTGGACGCTACCAATACATTCAAAAGTAATAGAATTTTCCATAGGTCACATGGATGATTATTTTTGCCTAATAAAATATGAAATTGAACACAGTTATTTTGTATATTACCTGCGCACTGACACAACACCAGCACTTGAAGGTTTAACTAGCCAATTCAAATCATGTAAATTGGTATTCTATGCTTAATGAATGTTTTTTTTAACGCAAATTATTGATGGTAAAAATTAATATCAGAAAAAAATAATGATACATTTACATTTCCTATTCATTAATAAAATTACCAATAAATTAACATTGTATATTTTTTAAATTAGATTTAACAACAGTATTAACAAATATCATAATTTTTTATTAATAATCAATGACAATAAAAAAATATATCACAAAAAATTAATACACATGTAGATCTATTATGCAAAAGTTTAGAAAAAAATATAGAAATCTATAGACAGAAAATTTATCCAAAGAGAAAAAAGTATTCCCAAGAAATTAGAAAATACAGCATGCACCAAAGTTAATGGGATATCCCTAACAATAAATAAAGTAAGTAAAAGTACATGTAGTTTGCAATAAACTTGCATTCATTTTTTTTGTTTCCTATATCATATATCATTTAACACAAAAAAGTTATGTGATATACAGTCAAACTTTTTAGCGTTGACTTTGGTAAAGAAAATTCGTAGTTCAATTTCTTTTGCAGTCTATTTTAAAGTAAATTCACACTACACATCATATCAACACAACTAGCAGTTAAAAAGTTACCACTTACCACCTAAAATAACCTTAAATAGACTAGTCTCTCTTTCAATCTGGACAAGACCATTCATCATTTGAGCGGTGTCACGACAAAACAAACATAATGGGTTTGCGACCAGCATGGATCCAGACCAGCCTGTGCAGTCTGATCAGGATCCATGCTGTTCGCTTACCAACTCTATTACAAGTAGAAAAACTGATAGCGAACAGCATGGATCCTGATCAGACTGCGCGGAAGCGCAGGCTGGTCTGGATCCACGCTGGTCGCAAACCCACTCGTGACGCGGCTCATTTTTAGGTAAAATTTAAAGATACATACTGACTGAATTACCAAACAGTACAGACCATGATCAAACAGCATGGATGTGACAGCTTATGCTTTGTCTGAACTAAGGTCACATGGGTGTCTTTAACTGCCACCAACAAACTTAAGGAATTATCTTGGGCAGAAATTTATCAAGTACATCTATACAGCTTTTGATGACCATACAGAAGATACAACAAAAGAGAATTACAACAACCATGCAAGAATGTACTATACAAAGTAAGTAAAGATCTAAGTAAAGATCTACTAATAGGTTTATATATAGAATACATGTTACATGATCAACCAGTCTACACATGTATGCTTGACTGCAAAATAGTGAAGGCTAGAGATTACAAAATATATTCTTAAAGGGACTCAACTGAGGTTTTTTGACATGACGGAACTAGAAATAATTTTTCGAGATAAGTGTGCAAAATTTCAGGTCATTCACTCACTCTGTTTTTCCAGAATAATTATTCTAAAAGAGAACATTGACCAATAAACTTCAAATCAGGCTATGAAAAGCACAGAAACACCTTATCTTTTATTTTCTCAGTATATTTCTTAACTATTTTTTGCATATCTTTTTATTTTCAGTGCCAAAATTGGTCTAAGTAAGATGTTAAATTTTATGATTTTAGGCTTTTGGATGCCGGTGGAGTCCCTTTAAAGCTTACAAGAAACATTTAATTATGGAAAGCTATAATAAATACATGTCACCTTTTTTAAAGCCGTATAAAATTATCCATCCATATTTTAAAGCAGCATGCCTCCAGATTCATGCTAATTTTTATGAATTTTTTCATGAAAATGTATTTTATTAGTAAAATATTGTGTAATGAACAAAGATAATCATTAAGACAATGCATTTAACAATCCATGTAAATTACCAAAAAGAGGTCAAAATATGCAAAAATAGCCATTACTGCAGAAGTCATGCAGTAAAATATGGCTTTAAATACTGCTAAATCAGTCATTAATTGCACATTACATGTAAATCATTACTTGAATCTTTTTACTTCTCTTAAAATCTAAGTACATTTTTCTTAAGTTTGATTTTCTTGAAATAGTTTTGGCTCATCTGCAGGCAAGCAGCTACAATTTCAACTTACAAAATATATTGCACCACCTTTGATTTCCCGAGTTCATTTTATTAAAGATTGTATATAAAGATATAATTTACATATATAATGTATAATGAAAATGGTGTTAAATGTATGATTAAAAAATTATTTCACAAATCTGCCATTAAATTCTAAACAAGAGGGCCATGATGGCCCTGAGATCGCTCACCTGTATATAGGCCCCTGGAGCGGGGCCAGTTTAAACCCCAGGGCTTTTATTTGAACAAACTTGGAAGACAGCCATTAGAAGATGTTTCATGATGTTAAGTTTTTACTACACACATATAATGAAAAACAATGACCTTCCCCCTCCCCCCCTGGCAGGGCCAATTTTAATCCAAAGGCTTTTATTTGAACAAACTTGGTAGACACCCATAAGAAGATGTTTCATGCTAAACACCTAAGCTCTAGCTCATTGGGTTTTTTAAAAGAAGATTTTTTTAAGTTTTTACTATACACATATAGTTAAATACAATGACACCCCTGGGGTGAGACCAGTTTTGACCCCAGGGCTTTTATTTGAACAAACTTTGAAGACACTTACTAGAAGAAGTTTTATGCTTAATATCTAAACTCTAGCTATTTGGGTTTTTCAAAGAAGATTTTTTAGTTTTTGCTATACACATATAAGGAAAATCAATGACCTCCTGGGGCGGGGCCAATTTTGACCCCAGGGCTTTTATTTGAACAAACTTTGTAGACACTCACTAGAAGATGTTTCATGCTTAATATCTAAACTCTAGCTATTTGGGTTTTTTCAAAGAAGATTTTTTAAGTTTTTACTATACACATATAAGGAAAATCAATGACCCCCGGAGCGGGGCCAATTTTGACCCCAGGGCTTTTATTTGAACAAACTTGGTAGACACCTATTAGAACATGTTTGATTCTAAATATCTTAGCTCTAGCTCTTTGAGTTCTTAAAAAGAAGATTTTTTAAGTTTTTACTATATGCATATAGGGAAAATCAATGACCCCCTGGGGCGGGGCCAATTTTGACCCAAGGGCTTTTATTTGATCAAACTTGGTAGACACCCATAAGAAAATGTTTCATGCTAAACATCTAAGCTCTAGCTCATTGGGCTTTTTAAAAGAAGATTTTTTTTAAGTTTTTACTATACACAAATAGTTAAAAACAATGACACCCCTGGGGCGGGGCCAGTTTTGACCCCAGGGCTTTTATTTGAACAAACTTTGTAGACACTTACTAAAAGATGTTACATGCTTAATATCTAAACTCTAGCTCTTTGGGTTTTTTCAAAGAAGATTTTAAGTTTTTGCTATACACATATAAGGAAAATCAATGACCCCCGGGGCGGGGCAATTTTGACCTCAGGTCTTTTATTTGAACAAACTTGGTAGACACCTATTAGAACATGTTTGATGCTAAATATCTTAGCTCTAGCTCTTTGAGTTATTTAAAAGAAGATTTTTTAAGTTTTTACTATATGCATATAGGGAAAATCAATGACCCCCTGGGGCGGGGCCAATTTTGACCCAAGGGCTTTTATTTGAACAAACTTGGTAGACACTCATTAGAAGATGTTTCATGCTAAATATTTTAGCTCTAGCTCTTTGGGTTCTTTAAAAGAAGATTTTTTAAGTTTTTACTATATGCATATAGGGAAAATCAATGACCCCCTGGGGCGGGGCCAATTTTGACCCCAGGGCTTTTATTTGAACAAACTTGGTAGACACTTACTAGAAGATGTTTCATGCCAAATATCTAAGCTCTAGCTCTTAGGGTTTTTTAAAAGAAGATATTTAAAGTTTTTTCTTTCGGTTGCCATGGCAACCAGAGTTCTGCATGGAATTAAATTCTTTGAACAATTTTTAAAGGTGACCACCAAAGGAACATTCCTGTGAAGTTTGGATGAAATTGGCCTAGTGGTTTATGAGGAGATGTCATTTAAAGTAAAAGTTTACGGACGACGGACGGACGACGGACGGACGCCGGACGAAAAGCGATCACAAAAGCTCACCCTGTCGCTTTGTGACAGGTGAGCTAAAAAATCTATAAAAAAAGGATCAATTAACCAAATAACTCATTCAATAATTTAACCTTGACCTATATAAACAATTAAATAACACACTTAGACAATTAAATCTTAAATTTGTATAATGGACTCATCCTGTTTTGAACTTTGGAACAGTTCTATATTAATTCAAGGGAGTTTAGTATCAAAATTTCTTAATTTAAAAAGCTGACAATACAGAGTCTGGTTATCTTTCTTAACCTGCTGAATTTCCTTAAATGAACTTGTCCAGCTTCCATTTTAAGAACTGTCCATTATATGTTTTGGGGGTATCAAGATGAAAATTAAAGTTTGCCAACAGGCAGGCTGCACTGATATACAGGCTGGCCTGGCTCTACACTGGTGGCAAAGGGTAATAACTCTCAGTTCCAGTAGGGTAATGGGAAAAGGTTAATGCCGACCAAACACTATACAAGTGTTATAGGTAATAGAAATAGAGAAAAAACAGAATTCCTATAGAATGCCTGAAACAACAAAATTGTAAATGTTGCAGGCTCGGTCTGATTGTGCCTGTTCATCAACGGTACTGGAAAGTGCAAGTAACCGCCCATGCCCCTTAGCAATGCCAGTCTTTTAAATAATTAATGTAGCAAGACAATAATTTCTTGCATATAAATCAACAGTAAGGCTAAATATACCCTGTGAAAAAACACATACACTTGACCAAGAATGTTTGGACATACAGTCAGGCTAAATATACCCTGTGAAAAAATACATACACTTGACCAAGAATGTTTGAACATACAGTCAGGCTAAATATACCCTGTGAAAAAACACGTACACTTGACCAAGAATGTTTGAACATACAGTCAGGCTAAATATACCCTGTGAAAAAACACGTACACTTGACCAAGAATGTTTGAACATACAGTCAGGCTAAATATACCCTGTGAAAAAACACGTACACTTGACCAAGAATGTTTGAACATACAGACAGGCTAAATATACCCTGTGAAAAAACACGTACACTTGACCAAGAATGTTTGAAACATTTCTTTAATACTTAATGAGTAAACACACTAAAGAAAGATATGAATAAATACATGTACATTTATCATATGTTACTACAAAATACATATTAAAATAATACATTAAAACAAAACTTTTATTTTTATTTTACAAAACTGAATCTTACTTTGCCAGCAAGTATATAAATACAGAAATTTATTACATCATGTTAAGCCTTTTTCAAACAGATTTTATCCAACAAATAAAACCCCTTTCGGGCCCCATGGATTAGGAACGCAGCGGTCAGCAGATGGGTTTGCCATAACAAGGCTCAGGCATTCTAGATAAGACGAATATTCAAACTCAGAGAAAAAGGAAATAACTTTTTAAAAGTTATAGAATTTTGGGACAACTTGCAAGGGAACATAACAATCTTACTAGGACAATTTTGACAACATCAGCACCAAAGAAAAAGCCATACAGACAAGGGCACAGATTATCAAACTTACAACAGTAAAGCGATCATGTGAGGATTTTGTACACAAGTTATAGGTCTAGATCTACATTAAATGGTACATTAATCTCCAAAAATTACTTTTAGTCTCGTCATGTCAAAAAACTTCAAAGGAGTCCCTTTAACAGTTAAAGAGTTCTTTTTTTCTTCTGCACGAAGGCTTTACCCATATGTTCATAATATACAAACCAAATGTTCATATAATGACCGGCAAGAACAAACAACTCTTTACAAGTACGTAAGTATGGAGATAAATGATGCCAAGTTATAATACATAATATGGATAAATAACATGTATATAAAAAAATATCACATCCAAAAAATTGTATAAATAATACACTTATAACTGTCAATGGAATGCCTGTAAAAACAAATCAAGCTCATATAAAAAGACCTATAGGAGACCAGTGACCCACTTCAGAAAAGTCTGTCCCAGAGAAAAAATGGTTCTAAGATATTTCTTCCAATGTTACCTCAAGTTAACCTATGCATGTTCATTTCTATTCTAACACAAAAGTGGCAAAACTTATAACTTGATCAAGGACCATGTATGTTTGGTGACAATTGTTTCAAGGAATTTGTTAAAATAATTTTTCCCTCATTTCTACCTCACATAAGGAGGTAATACAGTTGATAAGAGTTGATGAGAATAAGTTCCTCACATGTTTCATCCAAAAATGGTTATGCTCTTTATTTTTGTATTGTAAAAAATACTTATCCTTAAATGGCACATCAGAACACTAGTGAGTCCTAAAATGGCCAATCAGCACACTAGTGAGTCCTAAAATGGCCAATCAGAACACTAGTGAGTCCTAAAATGACCAACCTGAACACTAGTGAATCCTAAAATGGCCAATCAGAACACTAGTGAGTACTAAAATGACAAATCAAAACACTACCAGGTCCTTAAATGACAAATGAGAACACTTGTGAGTCCTAAAATGACCAACCAAATTAGCAGGAGTCCTAAAATGGACAATGAGAACATTACCAGGTCCTAAAATGACCAATCAGAACACTAGTGAGTACTAAAATGACCAATCAGAACACTAGTGAGTCCTAAAATGGCCAATGAGAACACTAGTGAGTCCTAAAATGACCAACCTGAACACTAGTGAGTCCTAAAATGGCCAATCAGAACACTAGTGAGTCCTAAAATGGCCAATCAGAACACAAGTGAGTCCTAAAATGGCCAATCAGCACACAAGTGAGATCTAAAATAACAAATCAGAACACTAGTGAGTCCTAAAATGGCCAATCAGAACACTAGTGAGTCCTAAAATGACCAACATAAACACTAGTGAATCCTAAAATTACCAATCAGAACACTTATGAGTCCTACAATGGCCTATCAAATTATCAAAAAGTCCTAAAATGGACAATTAGAACACTAGTGATTCCTAAAATGACCAACCTGAACACTTCAGTCTTAAAATGGCCAATCAGAACACTTTTGAGTCCTAAAATGACCAATAAGAACACTAGTGAGTCCTAAAATGGCCAATGAAAACACTTGTGAGTCCTAAAATGGCCAATCAGAACACAAGTGATTCCTAAAATGGCCATTAAGAACACTAAACTGAACATCGAGTTCTAAAATGGTCAATTAGAATAACTTTATCACTCTTAAGAAATGAATAAAGGAAGATTACCGCTGATAGAGTTTTATCCTCTAGTGATTTTAAAGATCATGTAAGTTGTTGACACAAGACAGTAAATAGTTATGTATCAATGGCTATAATATTTCATTATGAAAACAAAATCTTCTAAACCAAAATCTTCCTGACAATGAACTACATTTCGTTGAAATCACCCCAAAACAGAAACAACATTGATTTAGCATTCTTTAATTTCTTAATCATTGGCACAAGAAATTCCTTTATAAAACGTGATACTATATAAATCTTATCTAATATCCTTGGAATTTTTGTGACCTTGACCTTATCAAATTTAATGTTTTGATTTTTTTTTTAAAGCAGCAAAGTCTCTTTATAGATTATGTAGTATATGCTACTAAATGCAAATACAGATGGCTTAACCATAAGATTGCTATCCAAATCAAACACTGTCAGGGTCATTTCTAGCAAGCATATTGTCCTTGACCTTTATTTTTTGTGAGACTATTACAATGTAAGCAGTGTTCCATAAACATCATAAGTGAATATTTTCAAAATATTTGAAAAACTTGACATATCAAAATGATCACCAAATATTTTCTATCTAAATAAATGACAATAAATATGCTTTTCTACAACTTTTATATTAACAAAGGCTCTTCTAATATGTATATACATATATCAATCAACAAACAGCTTTCAAAATACAAAAAGACTGGAAAGGAGGCATGTAAAAAACAGATTGAAAAACAATTGAGAAAATAAATAAAAGTAAAAATTTTTTTTTAATCAAAATCAAATTAAATTGGAATATTTATGAAGCATTATTTAGGTAAATTTAATACAAAATTCAAATAAAGAGATTATGTGCAAAACTCAAATACTTTAATTAACCCTTACCACCATAAATATCTTAAATGGACTTTTCCATCTTTCATTTTTGACAAAACCATTCATCATTTTAGGGAAATTATCAAAATAAGTACCAACTATTTGCTAACAGTGCAGACCATGATCTGAAGGCACAGAGTTACTTGCTGATAATGGTCAGCACTGGAAGCAAAGGGTAAAATATGTTACTGCCTGCAGGCAAAAACGTTACAATTTTATACAATAATTATTTGTTTTGCACATCCAATAATAAATACAAGATATGAGCATGCCATCATAATGCACTTTGTATCAACATTTCAACATGATTTTTAGAAGGTACTATCTTCTCCAGAGGCGGAATATTTTTTCACTAACTTGATAGGGTGAAAAGTACAAAGCCACGTAAAAGAAACAATCACAAACAAAGGACGGCACTATCGGCCAGATTATTACAAAAAGTCCTATTGATAGGTAATTCTTTAGAGTGGACGTTACAACTGCTGATAATGATCTGAAAGTAGAAAATAATAATTTGGATATCAAAGTTTAAGATAAGACATTAGATATCTAAAATAAGACGAGAAGTTTTATATCAAACATTTTAATGAAAATTTAGATATCAAGCTAAAAATTAGATATACACAGTATATACTTATATTACTAGCAAACCAGTTTAAGCAAAATAACTGACTTATGTTATCAGAACGTTTTTGAAGTTCTAATTGAAAGGGATGAATAACAAATTACAAAAGGGGAAAGTTTGCAAAGTGGCCAAGATGTCTGCCTCTCAACCTATAGATTGTGGGTTTGAGACCTTCATATAAATACCAGCAATGGAAAACTAGCAAACAAGCTAAAATTTATATTTCAACTAAAGAGAGTATTTATAAAGTATTATTATGAAATCACTAATAATACAAGCATACAAAGACACAGACTGTCAATGTAAAATGCCATTTTAAAAAGAAGAGCTTCAAATGCCCTGAGAAAATTTCAAAATACATGCAATAACATACAGAAATCATTACCTGAATTCATTTTCTCCTCTTAAATACATAGCAACATAATTTGCTTCTAACAGAGTCAACACCAAACAATTTGCGAGAATAAATCGTGACGTCCAATAGTGTATATCCATCCAGTCCCAGGTGAACTCTCCAATCAGCACATATGGTAAAAATAAATACTTTGGTACGAACTCTGCCCACTGAACGGACGTTAATGGTGGTAACTGGCAGAAAATAAGATAAATATTGTTTAGAAGGAAAAACACAGTCTTTACACTGAAGTCTCATACCTTCAAGTTCAAAAGAACATAAACCTAATTTATTATATTAAAATATTACAAGATCTTAACAAGAAAGATGCTAAATTTGGTTTTGTTACAGTACCGTAAGACTAAGAACACAATTAATTAAAACATCTTTGTTTCATAAGTCAAATTGCACACAACAAAGAAATATCAGGTACCAGGAACTGTTGAAAGTGTAAAGCTATAACATTTATTCCCACTTATATGACAAAGATAACATCAGCATTGGTATGATAAAAAGATCCCATCATTGAATATACCTGTGGTTATTTGATTAACACATACTCCCAAGGCTATAATTTATGGAATACTTGAAATTAAATATTTAAAGATAAAAGGCCCATTATGCCAAATAAATGTTTCTATTCTTATTTCTCTAAAGCTTTTTATTTTAGGTGTACTGGTACTTTTATAGTTACTCATCGACCAATTACCTGAACTATCTTTTGCTTCTTTTGCTTATTTGCAATTAATACAATTACAGCGATTCAGTATTTTGTATGGAAGTCAAAATATTATTTTGTTTACATTTTGCTACTTTTATGATAAATTATTTCACATGTTTCGCTACTTTCTTCCAGTAGCAAGCATCTAATAACTATTATTTATAAATCATCAAATTCACAAATGCCCTTTCCAAAGAGGAAAACATTTATTCATTTTTGAGGTATAATGTGCCTTTAAGAGGTTGTTTGTTTTTTTATACACACAACTACAAGTTAAAAATTTACTACAGAAAATTAAGATAATTATATGAAAAAGAAAACTTACAGACTGTGTGAAATCATATTTTGGTAGATCTTGTGAGATAGGACATACAACGTGAGCAAATGGTAGAAACATTGTCTCGTACTCCGTAAAATATAGATACAACAATGTTGATCGTGGGAAATCTTTCATACCGTACAACAGAAACAGCGCCCAGCCTGGGTTTAAAGACTGAAAGAGAATACAATTGTGTGTTGATACTTAACCTCAACTTAATATCAAATGTATTGCCAGTACTGAAAAGAAGCTTTCTTGTTGGTTCTTCTTAATTTAGAAAGCTAGTTAGAACAGGCATGTATCTTGATTGAAGTCCTTTTTTAATGACAAAGAACTCAGAAAATAGCTTTTACATAATAATTATCCCAGATGAAAAAAAAACCACCTAAAAATATATTTACAACAGCAAATCTTGACCTGCAATCATAAATTTACAGCCAGAGTATATCTATTTTTTTATCATTTTTTACAGAAAAATTGAAATATGATAATAATGTACATTTATAATTGTATGAAAAAACTCAAATCAGAAACTTTTCTCTTCTTTTTTTCTTTTTTTACTTCTTTAGTACTCTTAATTTTACCTCAAAATTTGTTGATGTACCCAAAAATATGAAAGAAACAAAGACTTATGATCACACATTACTGTGATTGTTCTGTATCAACTCTTACATGGCTAATTATCTGTAATTGTCCCTCATTTTTGACTGAATACAGAAAATCACAGACCTTAAAGCAGCACGCCTCCAGATTCATGTTAATTTTCATAAAATGTTTTAGAAATGTATTTAACCGTTTCACTGCCATAGGGACGGCTTATGCCGTCCCTGTTATTTTCGGCGTATTTTGCCATATGGACGGCTTAAGCCGTTTCTATAATAATAATGATAAAAATAATTAAATTAATAATAATAATAATAAAAAAAAGAAATTATACGATCGACAATGAATTATCATTATACTAACAGATTTGGAAACATATATAATTATTATAATACTAATAACAAATAATTATAATTATATTAATTAATTATATAGTAATTTCTTAGAAAACCCTCTGGCAAATAGGTGATCAATAAAACAATAACCCTCTGGCAGCGAAAGGGTTAAAAGTAAAATAATGTGAGGTAAACAAATAAAGTAATGTGCATATTGCAATCAGCACTTACAAACAACGAAAATTACCAAAAAATGTTCAGTATATGCAAAAACAGCCCTTACTGCGTTACTAACGCAGTAGAAATATGGTGATGAAATACTGCAAAATCAGTCTTAAAGACATTTTCTACAGTTTTATGGAAAAATAATCCTTTCATAGAATTTTCTATATTTTTTGTATGATGAGTAAAATTTAATGACGAATTTGAAAATAAAAAGAAAAATATATGTTGACGTGTTGGATTTCTTTTTAAAAATGGCAGTTTCCATGGTAACCGTATATCTAAAAAACTGTCAAAATAGCCCTAACTGTGTTATAACGAATAGAAAATGTATAAGATAGCTTTAAAACACACAACGAGCATTGTTTTATGCAAAGATAACCTTATCTAATGATTTCTGTATGAAACAAATGAAAATCTGAACATATTTCTTTTTAAAAAATGAGTTTTCCATGTTCCTCAACCGAACAAAAAATGAGAAAAATGAACATGAATTCTCAGAATAATTAGAGATATTGAAAAAAGTGTTTCATATAGGATTTTTTAATTTTTTGTATATTGGTGTAAAATTTAATGACAAATTCAAAAAAAAAAAAAGAAAAATATATGTTGGCGTGTTGGATTTTTTGAAAAAATGGCAGTTTCCATGGTAACCGTATATCTCAAATTTGTCAAAAATAGTCAAACTGTATTGTAATAATGTATAAAATAGCTTATTATACTCACAATAAACATAATTTTATACAAAGCTTGCTTTATCTTAGGGTTCTGTATAAAACAAACGATAATTTGGGACATATTTCTTTAAAAAATGAGTTTTCATGCTTTTTAACTAAACTAAAAATGAGAAAAAATAAACATGAAAATTTTCTGTAAAAAAATTAAAAGCTTTCAAGAAATTTCTTTTATAGAATTTTCTACATTATTGATATATCAAGTAACATTTGATTGTGGATTCAAAAATAGAAATAAAATATATATATGTTTCTGAAGCGTTAGTTTTTTTGTAAACGGGCAGTTTCCATGGTTACCGCATATGCCAACTGTCAAAATTACCACGCTTTCTTAAGAAATATCAGTGTTATACTGAATGTATTGTCAAATATAAAACATGTTGTAATAAGAATTTCTTTTTCTTTTGATGTTATATTAAGTAAATGATACTGAATATTTTTTTTAAAACATATCTAGTGCCATATTATTTTTTTTCACTCGACTAACATAGTATCCGAACAGTAAGCAAGGATTCAGAAATTTAAAAAGAAAATAATGAAATTCTGAACATTTCTTGGATATTAATTTTGTTTTTTTATTCAACACTTTTAAAATATATCATTTTAAACTTCTTTGCCCAGTTGTCTGCCAGTAATCAAGTCGCGACGCACTTTTGTCACTATACCACAAGTGGGTGGGGTAACGCGCGCAGAATTATCATCAATGCTGTCGTACTAATGCTTGGAGAAATTCTTTATGTGATGTTGTCTAAACGACATTCTTATTCTTTTGAACCAATCTCCTTTTGAACATTTAGAAATATCTATTCTGTATTATTTACTCATTATTTGCTTATAGCCGAAATTTAAACACTTATCCGAATACTATTCAACTTTACCTTCATTTGAAGAGTAATTAATCCGTGATTATCTTTCTTGGATGAGCATAACGATGCGCACAGAAAACTACCGAAAACGTCTTTAAACCTGCATAACATGTAAAATATAGCTTGGATCTTGAATGTTTTAACCTTTCTTAAAAGTTTAGTACACTGTTCTCAATATTGGTTTTCTTGAAATATTTTGGCTCATCTGGAGGCGTGCAGCTTTAATGAAAATACATGAAAGTGCTGGTAGATCATGGTCCGGCCAAATGTATACAATCAGCTGATGGAATAAACAGACAATATCTATTTCACATATTTGATGTGTAACACCTACCTTGAACTCCCAGAGATTGGATGGTGGTTTAACACCTCTATCTTTAACTGCATTAACAGAATTGATTAAAGCTCTTTTATGTAATGGATCAGAAATGTTGAATATTTCGTCAATGTTAGTCTCATCAAGTTGTAACATGAGATTTCCCCCTGAAATATTGAAATACAACCATTATTTGTAAAAACAGTTCTATATTTATAAAATTTAGTTATTAAATAGGGGGAAAAAATCATGTTTTGGAAAAAAATGCCTTGATTCATGATAAGCACCTAGTTAAATATTTAAGTCTCATAGTTAAATGGAACTCCACTGAGGTCCAAAAGCCTAAAAAAACCCATAAAATTTGAAAATCATACATAGATCAACTGGGGCACTTAAAACAGAAAAATATGAAAAGGGTAATCAAGAAATATAATGTACTCAGGATTAAATTGAAATCAATATTTATTGCCTACTTAGCCAAATTCAACTTACAAGCATTTTCAATTTAGGTCATATTGCACAATAAAAAGATCTTTCTGGAAAAACAGAGTCAGCGAAAATAAAGAATGGAAGGTTTACTTGTTTAATTACCTATTTTTCGTTCCTGAACAATTTTCACATATTCTTGTGTCCAGAGACCCATGTCTGTAAACCACTGGTGAACATCGTCCACAGTCCACTTAACAAGTGGTTTGTGAACCAAGAGATCCTGGTCGGAGCTTCTCCAGTACCATGATAAATAAACCACCTAGACAAGTGGTAAAAATATAGATTATATGTCTTGTCACAGTGAGGGTCAATGCATGAAACTTACAGGGCGAACATCTACGATATAAATAAATAAACAAGCATTTGATAGTATTGCGGGCAATACAGTAGTCCCCTACCGGTCCCTCAAAAAGTTCTTTAATTGTCATACACTCCTGTGTATTGCCATTTATAATGAATTTGAGGATGAAGTCTGTATTTGAAAATATCGACCACAAAACATAATAAAATAAGTTTGTTTATATCACAGTAATGTGTTAAGTTTCCATGCTTAGTAAGGAAATTATGTTTTATACAACCTTGTCATATTATTACGATGTGGGATTTTAAAGTAAATCCTATAAGGAATGAAGAAGTTGGAGTGAAAATACCAGTTTCTCGAAAAAAATCTAAGTTCAAGGGGACATAATTCTGGAAATAGTCTTGCTAGAGTATTTAACCTTCTCAAAAATGTCGAGTGATAATAAGAAACATATATATGAAGTTTGAAGTAGATACATTAGGAAATAAAGAAGTTATTTAAAAAAGACAACATTTTTTCCCCTAAAAAAATCTAAGTTCAAGGGAGGTAATATTAATATTTTTTGTGCTAGAGTTATAAACCTTGTCACATATGATGTGGTTTGATGACCAGGAACTTATATTTAAAGTTTGAAGTAAACACCTTAAGAAATAAAGAACATATAGTGAAAAAGCTGAAAAATTTAAATCAGAAATCTTGAAATTCAGGCTATTTGTTGCCATAGCAACCAGAATTTTCAACATAGGAAGAAAATAAAAAGATGTGCATAATCTCCAGACTGCCATCTACCCATACTTCAAGTTTCATAAAAATATTTTCAGTACTTTTTGAGTTATCACTGGATCCAGTTTATGTGTTAAATTTGCCATATTTTCAGACTATTTGTTGCCATAGCAACCAGAATTTTCAACATAGGAAGAAAAAAAAAAGACGTGCATAATCTCCATACTGCCATCTATCCATATATCAAGTTTCATAAAAATATTTTCAGTACTTTTTGCGTTATCGCGGGATCCAGTTTTGTGGACGGACGGACTGACAGACTGACAGACAGACGGACAGACAGACAGACGGACAGACGGACGGAGGGTAAACCTAAAGTCCCCTCCGGTTAAACCGGTAGGGGACTAAAAACCTAAAGTCCCCTCCGGTTAAACCGGTAGGGGACTAATAAATGACAGCAATCATTCTAAGACATAGAATGTTTGTATGACAGTACTGTAGCAAAGGCAAACGATTAAAGTGACATTATGCCCATCCAAGGGTTTGTAGTAAGTAAACAGGTAAAAGTCAAAATAAATTTTCATTTTGCCACAATTCATTTCAATTTTAAAATTTGTTTCGCATGAACCACATATCAGCCGCTTCACGACAAAACGAACATAATGGGTTTGCGACCAGCATGGATCCAGACCAGCCTGTGCATCCGCGCAGTCTGATCAGGATCCATGCTGTTTGCTTACCAACCCTATTACAAGAAGAGAAACTGATAGTGAACAGCATGGATCCTGTTCAGACTGCAGATTTATATCTTAAACATTTTCCAATATAAAAAAATGAGCATGTCACTTTAACTTAAAAACCCTACAAAACATGAAAATATTAAAAAATTAAAAAATTAAAATAAGAACCAGTACATGTATTATCATAATATCATAATATACATGAATGATAATTTAAATTCAGACTACTTTTCAAAATTTTAATCATTTATTTGACAAAAAAAATAAACAAACCACTAAAACAGCCAGAGCAAAACAAAGACCACCACAGAAACCCTGGCCTTGAGCTTTGTTCGATTCTGACGTTTTACTCTCCGAGAGCTCTGCATCAAACTTGGCAATCTTTTTCTTCACCTCCTCTGTAAGAACCTCAGTCTCCCTCTCTTGAATAGAGTCAGCGTGCATCTTTTCCAGAAGATTCCTTAATGATGTAAATTTATTCATATGTAATTGCAACAGAAAATCATTACAATTGATAAATATAACTGCAATGGAAATACTGTATTCATAGAAACTTTTGCAGAAATAATATTTCGCATTTTCCATCAGAATGGCACTTTGTGGAGACAAACTTTTGCGCAATCATGGTGATCGGGAATTAATATCAAGTCTCTTGGTTAAAGAGAATATATATGATGAGTATCACAATTACATTTCTGTATTTGTTCTCTCTATACCCACAAGACAAGACAATGACATATGAGCCATGTCATGACAAAATCAACATAATGGGTTTGCAACCAGCATGGATCCAGACCAGCCTGCGCATCCGCGCAGTCTGATCAGGATCCATGCTATTCGCTTACAAACTCTATAACAAGTAGAGAAACTGATAGCGGTCTGGATCCATGCTGGTCGCAAACCCATTATGTTGGTTTTGTCATGACACGGCTCATATGATATTGACAAAATCTTTAAATTTTACCTTTAATGTAAGATATAAGATGTCATTCTAAATAATTCTCATACCAGAAAAATAAAAAATTCATTTTGATGACTTATTTTTTTGCAAATAATATTATTTGCATTTAAAAACATAATTGCAATGGCAATGCCATGGTAACAGAAACTTAATTGCAATGGAAATAACATGGTAACAAACATAATAACAATGAAAATACCATGGTAACAAAAACATAATTGCAATGATAATTCTGCCAGCATGTATACATTACAAAGGAGACTCTACCATAATGAAAACATAATATTAACTCATTAAAATATGTATAAAATCTGCATTAATGACTTGAAATTTTATAATAAGAAATATAAAAATTATTAATGATTACTATCAGCAAATGCTTCAATTTGGATTAACTACTTCTAACTTACTTTGAACTGCTGTTTGCTATTTTGAACCACTTAAATTTATATTTTTCCATCGAGAAATTTTAAAACTGCCGGTTTTGGTAAAATTCTTTGTATTCTCATTACTGACTTGTAGTTGAAGTTGCAATAAAATTACTTTTTTAATAATTAAAGATTCTGACACTCATACTTACTTTAGTGTTATATTAATTTGTGGATTGCCTGTCCATGCACTGCGGCACTGTGGACATTCCATTTTCTTTGAGGAAAAGTACCAGTTAGCTACACACATTCTACAAAAGCTATGACCACATGTTAATGTTGTAGGTTGGACCATCAAGTCAAAGCAACATCCACACAGGAAATCATCTGATGCAGACAGTGACCTTTCGAAGCTGACCTTATTGTCAAGGTCAGATGTGACAGATTGACTGTTATTACGATTTCTCAGACCACTTTCTTCAACATTCATCATCCTAAAATTTTAGGAGAAACATAATGTTAACAAGAGGGCCATGATGGCACTGAATCGCTCATCTAAGATAAATTCATTTAACCCTGGGCATTTTCTTTCAGAGAAGAATATTTCTAAGACATTTTCACTATAAAAGCCTATGTAAGCTAAGTTACCCCCAGGAATTGCCCATTAATAAATTTTATGATCCCCTGGGCATGACTTATATAACTTATGTAGAGATCAACTGAGCAATGCTACATGCCAAATATCTTAACTCTTGGCATTGTAGTGTGGTGTTATAAAAGACAACAAAAATATATATTTCTCAATACAACTCTATTTGAACTAAGTGACCCAAAGTGCAGGGTCAGTACTAACCCCAGTGGCATGATTAATATAACTTTTGTAGAGGACCACAAGGCAAAGCTTCAAAGGGTTTCTTCCTTTTAGCAATGATTTGTGCGATTGGCCTTTTAGGCATATTACTTACACATTGATTCTTGTCCAATCTTATAAGATTTAAGGGTTATGCAACACGTTTACCCATTTTAAACAATAATATGATACAGACTGTTACTGCCCCAAATATAGAAGCTGTTGCTTGGAAAACAAACTTATAAAATCAGTCAGAAATCATGCGACTCTTCAGTTCTTTTTTTCAATAATTTTTTGAGATTTTAACCTTCTTGTAAATTTAGATAGAAAACCAGAAAATAGTTCCTAATAATTAAATGTCACAACTCAAATCTTAAAAGTTGGCAATTTCTTGCGTAAATTCAGAGCGTATTTGTAAGTTGGGAAACTGTACTGAGGAAACTCGGGACCGTAACACATTTAAATTCTTACTACCGTTTAAACACTTTTCACGGAGAGAATTTTCAAAAATGCTTTACAAGCTTCCTTCTTAATCCGTAAATTTTATTTTATGTAATCTATTATGTAAATGTGTGGATTATAAATAAAATATTGTTTAAACTAAACACTTTTCATAAATGTATTATAGAAAGTAATTTAAGCACAAGATTATCGTCTTTAAAATAAATCATCAAGTATATTTATAATTATAAATTGAAAAATAAATACATGTAATTACAATCTAAAATAACTTTTCTTTTCAACTTGAACCGTGTCAGCATGGAAAATTGTTTAACTGATTCCGGAAAGGAATCACAGCTCCAATTTAAATACTTATCTATAAATCAAATTTATTTATTTAAAACTTAATCTTATAAATTTTAAGTTGACACAAAGAAATTAAGTAAGGAAGAACTAGGACTGCGCATCAATTATTAATAGTGTCAACATTTCCGAAGTGTATATTGGTCAGCGTACCAGTGTCGGCGTTGTGGAATAGTTGACACATTTTAAAAATAAATATAAGGTTAAATATATTTTCTATCCCGGGACAATAACTTCTCTGGAACATTGCTTAAACAACACCTAATAGCCAAGCTATTACGGCATGCTATGATAACAGTCTTTTATTACACGGATAAATGGTACATGTACACAGGTTCTTTCAGATACAGACAAACCAAAAATGGGCGCTCGGAGTAACGAGTTTTACTTTTCTGAAAACTGTTGAGGAATGAAAAAATAATGCAAGAATTTACCATTTGAATTCAAAAAACTTTTATATCGTAATGCACGTTTGGAAAACAAAACTTTCCTAGGCAAGGAGTTGCTGTTTTTAATACGCAGCAAATTGTGACTTACATAATTATACTAACAGATAATACTACAGAGTGGTGACAATATAAATTTTTTTAATGAAATACAGTATTTGTTTATCCTTTAACCCATTACGCGATATACACACCTTTTAACGCTTTTTTCACCCCCCTTTTTTTTGTTGTCTCAAATGGTGAAAAAAATGCCTTATTTAGGCCCCCAACACTTGTTTTTGTTTGAGAAATGTTGTTTAAAAAAGTGACCACTTTTTCGGCACGCCCCCCCACCCCCAACCAAAAGATACATCAGGGGGTTGCCAGAAGGGGGATGTGCCCCCTTCTGTTTGGGGAGTTTAAAGAAGGGCGGCAGTCCCCCTCATCGCCAAGAAAATTTTGGACTTGTGAGAGGCTAAAAATGACCCAAGATCGATCATAAGGTAACATGTAACCAACACTGAAAAGTATTTGACTCTATCTCAATCCATTGAGAAGTTGCAGCACTTTGAAATCAATTTTGATGGAAAAAAATCAACGCAAAATAGTGTTTTTTGGCAATTTTGAGATGTCCCCTCGTTGCCATGGTAACAGGAAATTTAAGCCCGAGCATGTTGTTGCAAAGGCAATGGTCAAGTCAACACTTGTGCCAAGTTTGATTAGTATTGAAGCAGTTTTTATAGTTTTATAGCAATTTGAACTTGTAACTGAAAACAGCCATTTTTCACAAAATGCTCATGAAGTAATAAAGTAATAAACATGTTTATAAAAAAAAGAGGACTAAATTAAAAGTTTCCCCGCATCATTTTAAAGATTTCAATCAATAAGAAAAATATTTAAAGATTATTTCCTGGCAATTTATTTTAATGTAGCAATAAATATAATTAATAATAACAACATTAAAAAATAATAATTAACATTGTTTAATAGTTTTTCATATTTTTTTAGCCACGCAAAAAAAAAGACAACATAACGCACGGTACTGAACAACAGGACTTGAGCTAGGCCAAAATTTTAGGGAGAAGTGACTTCTCCCTCCAGCTGATTTAGGGAGAAGTGAGGAGACTTTAGGGAGAAGTTGGGAGACATATTAGGCGTCATCTGGAGAAATATATTAAAGCTAGGAAACTTTACAAACCAGGAAAGAAATAAACACCTCTCAAATAAAACAATTCTACTATAAATCTACTTTTCATAAATGAATACCAATAGCAAACACAATATTTACATATACTGTATACATGTAGAAATAGTGAGTATGTTTAGTTGGTAACAATATTCAGGGCAGATAGAGCAGTGCCACTTGCCATATTGTCAATGAGTCAGACTGGTCACTGACTATAATTTTAATTTAGCGATTTGCCCACAAGCCAGAATGTTAATGAAATTTAATTTTGTATAATCAGCGTGTTTACTTTACGGAGTTCAATGTATTAAAAAAATATTAGATACAAATCTTCACATAATTTCTACAGATTAGTGCTCCGAAAGTTTTTAACAATCGAGTTTTCGTACATAACCTAACATTTAAGACGTTGGGCATTGTTTATCTTTACTCGCCAAAACACCGCAACAATTATCAACAATTATGTATATGCAGGTGTCTTTAATTATGCAATCGAGATTTTCGGAATATTCCGAACGCTCCGACGATAAGTTGTACACCACCAATTTATTTGTTTTGTTTACGGTACAAAAAACCCGAAAGAAAGAACTGGTTTACATGTACACTAAACACGTTATGCTCAAATCATAATTCATAAGAGCTTTCTGCACCATAGGTAGCACCTAATTTCATATTATATACAGTATATATATTTTTTTAGAAATACTTTTTTACACTATCCCAACACTGCGCTGGGTCCCTGTGATTATGTGGACAATTTTGATCAGTTCATCAAGAAATTGAAAAATTTCAGGTAGTTCGACACTAGAAAATAAAACAAAATATTTCAGAAAGTCATGTACTGTTGAGACCTGTACTGTTGCTATCTCAAACTTACAAGCTTATTTTCTTTCCAGACTAGCAACGAAACAAACTTTGGAAATTACTGATTTTCCAAATCTCTAAAACGCTTGTTCAGACCGGTTAAGCACCTCAGTGATTTTCAGTTCGCTTAAAGCATTAACAATTCAAGAACGTATTTTGCGACATATCTGTGTAATGGCCATTCTATCATGAATAATGATTTATATTTATCTACGGATAAATCATTATTTATGATAGAAAATCACTATACAGTCACAAATCTTATTGAAATAAAATGATTTTATTTGATGGAAGCGACTACCGCGAAATAATGGGACACAACTCTCAATAAATACAAACACACATACACAGTAGAAAATGGAAATCACAAGAAAAAGTGAGACTTTACATGAAAATGTTTTTTTAATTCAATTTGTTTCTTCATCATGATTGCTTACGAAGAAAATTGTGACATATTTTGCGATCTTGCCCTAAAAATGCGGTGAAGCAGCTAGAACTCAAATCTGCACATGAATGACATGGTCTCTAGTTTAGCATGTTTGTTGTAAAATTAAAAACAGCCAATCAACCAAGTGGACACCGCCCCAACTAGTCCTTCATTGAAAGACATCACATTTTCTTTATTTTACATTTTTACGTCTATTGGAAAATGCGAAGTCTTTCCCTAATTGGCTAATTTCCTACACAGGTGCTAGTTGCATTGATTTGACCTAAAATGTGTTTGACCTTGTTATTTATACAATAAAATATCAATATATTAAAAAAAAAAAAAAAAAAAAAATTTTTCACTGTTATATTATTATAGACAAGGTATGCAACATTCAGGTACGAAAATTATGGGTACGCCGGTTATCTGTGTTAAATTTTTTCACCGGGCGGTAATATCGTCGGATTTTTGCATGGAATCAATGCACAATATATTTTTCTATTACAATTTACTATTTACAGATCCCCAATTAACCGCTAGTTAATGTTTTAAAGCCCGAAAGTAAGAAATCACCCAGGTCCGAAAGATGAGACCGTCATGACATGTATATTGTAAGCTGGTATTTACGCTTGAAATACATCAACAAAGAGATCAAACGGGTCGAACTCACATGCAAACAACTGGATTTTACATACTTTTAATTGGTTTTATCCTCCACGAGTGGCACTAAGTCCTATGTGCCCGTATTTTAAGAAAAATTCTACATGTATAAGGTAATTCCTAAATCGGAAGTGTTCTCCGCAACACGTGCTTGGTTCCCTGTTCCGCTCTTTGTCAATGTATGTGAAACGAAAGCCGGAGAATGCTTCCGGTGGGAATTACCTTCTAAAAATATCGTCTAAATGTAGGATATTTCTTTAAATACAGGCTCATAGGACTAAGTACGACTCGTGGAGGATAAAACCATTTAAAAGTATGTAAAATCCAGTTGTTTGCATGTGAGTTCGACCCGTTTGATCTCTTTGTTGATGTATTTCAAGCGTAAATACCAGCTTACAATGTACATGTCATGACGGTCTCATCTTTCGGACCTGGGTGATTTCTTACTTTCGGGCTTTAAAACATTAACTAGCGGTTAATTGGGGATCTGTAAATAGTAAATTGTAATAGAAAAATATATTGTGCATTGATTCCATGCAAAAATCCGACGATATTACCGCCCGGTGAAAAATTTTAACACAGATAACCGGCGTACCCATAATTTTCGTACCTGAATGTTGCATACCTTGTCTATAATAATATAACAGTGAAAATTTTTTTTTTTTTTTTTTTTTTTTTTAATATATTGATATTTTATTGTATAAATAACAAGGTCAAACACATTTTAGGTCAAATCAATGCAACTAGCACCTGTGATTTCCTATAGCACAAATTGACACACTTTATGTAAAAAATTGCTTCAAATCTACGGTTACGTCTAAATATTTGGACTAGGCCCCAACTTGACCGACAGAGCCCAAGGAAGTCTGACATCATTTATTATTGACTGACATTATTCATGACAATAAATAAAGTAAAGAAATTTAACACTGTTTAATTTGCAGAAAAGATGTTTCACCTCAAAATAGTCCAATGAGTTAGACGTTACAGGCTTGTTAGTTTTATGTCGGTCAAGCCTGACGTCTAATAGTTATTGCTCATATATGCATAGCATCATAAAAAATTCAAAAAATGTCTACTGTCTTGCCTTTCAAGCTATATTCAAAAGTTTATCTTTCTTTCAAGTTCATGCTCAATCATTAACAAAAACTCTCAAACAATGTACTTACATGTATCAATTCAAAATAAAATACGGTAGAACCCCGGTGGATTGAAAACGCCCGAAAATGATAACATTGATACATAATTTTTATTTAATATAATATCTATTGTTCCAGAATAGTAATTCATGATGATTTTCTGAAAAATCCTTATGCCATACTGGATAGAAGGGAAATGGGAAGGCTTTTAATACAAACAAGTGCAATCATTGCAAATTGTCGTTATTCTTTTGAAATGATCCGGGCTTTGCCGGGGCTCTACCGGGATCAACCGTAGCTCTACCTTTATCCTCCGGGCTCTGCCTGTAGTTACCGGGCTCTGCTGGCATATACCGGGGCTCTACTGTAGCTCTACCGGCTATATCATATCCCGGATCATCCCCGGTTTGTACCGGCAGAGCTAGGGTGCTTTCCCGGTATAACCCCGGTCGTTCCCGGCAGAGCTAAGGATTAAGCCGGCAAAGCTATACCTTCCCGGATCATCCCGGACCACCCGGTGATATTAAATATTTTATTCCATCCGGGGTCGAATGCCGGATGTTCCCGGATCATCCCAGATCATCCAGGATGTTGCTGGCAGAGTTACGGATGTACCCCGGTTGTTCCCGATCGTTCCCGGATCACCCCGGACGTCTACCGGGGCTCTGCCGGGATGTGAGACTGTAGCTTTATTGAATCAAAGCGATGTCATGAACATGATCTGTCCAGACACATGGTACTGTGGTGTGGACAATTTGGGTAATTTTGATACCATCATTGATGGGCCTCGGATGTAAGTGTCAACATAATCAGAAATAAACAAAGTAGTTAGTTAGGAGAAGAACCAAGCTGTACTGGTCAAATTTTCAGATCTCTAGCTTTAATATTTATATCTGTATGGAAAAAAGTTCAAAAAGTGTTTGATTGATGGTCCCTGACCAGTATATATAATCTAATATGAAATAAGGCAAAGCCCAAATGAATGGGGAAGATGGTTTAAAAAAATCGTTAATTTTTCCGTTTTAAAGGTGTAATTTGGTATTTCATGCACCAGTTCCGTTTTCAATTGGAAAACCTCGACGATTATTATTAAGCTGAAACATTGCGATTGTTCCGTTAATAGGAATACCCCACCTACTATCATTTAGTTACATTGAAAATGGCGGTGCCCAACTAGAAATGACACTGAAAATTTCACTGATATATGTAGAAATCTATATATATTTTAATTGTTTTTTTATTTGATTTTCTTTCAAATATATAAATTAGTCTATAGCCAGGCAAGCCAAAGCTTGGACCTTTGCAGACCCGGTCTTTGACTTCCCCGTATTAATAAGCCAAGTATCAACATATAAAAAACTTATTTCAAACACTATGTAATAATATCTGATAAGTGAAAATAGTCACTGAAATCTTCAAGTTTGAAATAATGTCGAAAGAGATGTTCTTGATATAGTACATGCCAGTTCACTAAGCGGTTCCAATGAATTACGTCATTTGAAGTCTCGCATAACTTCTAAGTGTCATGGTCAACATCAGCTGGTTTAATTGATGTTACGCAGTATGATATGCAATTTTATTGACAGAATTAATATTTAAATAATTTGAATATTCCAGAACGATGCTGCAATGGTATTTTTATCGGATATTATAATGTGCAAGTTAAATGCGCAATTAATTAGGAAAAGGATATTTGCAAATTTATATAAGGTTTCACAAACATGTCTTATTCTGGTTAGGTTTCATAACTGGTCCGATCCAAAACTTTAACGCGGCATCAGATGAAGGGAAAAATGTCAAAAAAGCGACTTGTGAAGTTTTGGAAGCCAGAACTAGGACTTTTCTCACCCTATTGTGATAATTTTGATTTAATAAAATTTCTTCAAATTAAGTTTAATGGTATTTTTATTAATAAATGACTGTAAAAGTTACTTAACTGATTAGAAATGGGTGGCTTAAATCTATATGCTTTAAGTTTGTTTGTCATAATTATGCCCCCATTTCGAAGAAAAGGGGGTATATTGCTTTGCACTTGTCGGTCCGTCGGTCTGTCGGTCCGTCGGTCCGTAGACCAAATGGTTTCTGAGTGATAACTAAAGAACCCTTAGGCCTAGGAACTTCAAACTTGGTATGGTGATTGGTCATGTCCAGTAGATGACCCCTATTGATTTTGGGGTCAAGGGGTCAAAGGTCAAGGTCACATTGACCTTGTAGGCAAAAACGGTTTCCGATCAATAACTAAAGAACCTTAAGGCCTAGGAACTTCAAACTTGGTATGGTGATTGTTCATGATCAGTAGATGACCCCTATTGATTTTGGGGTCAAGGGTCAAAGGTCAAGGTCACATTGACCTTGTAAGGAAAAACAGTTTCCGATCAATAACTAAAGAACCTTAAGGCCTAGGAACTTCAAACTTGGTATGGTGATTGGTTATGATCAGTAGATGACCCCTATTGATTTTGGGGTCAAGGGGTCAAAGGTCAAGGTCACATTGACCTTGTAAGGAAAAATGGTTTCCGATCAATAACTAAAGAACTTTAAGGCCTAGGAACTTCAAACTTGGTATGGTGATTGGTCATGATCAGTAGATGACCCCTATTGATTTTGGGGTCAAGGGGTCAAAGGTCAAGGTCACATTGACCTCTTGGGTAAAAACGGTATCGATCAATAACAAAAGAACCCTTAGGCCTAGGGACTTCAAACTTGATATGATGATTGGTCATGATCAGTAGATGACCCCTATTGATTTTGGGTTCAAGGGGTCAAAGGTCAAGGTCACATTGACCTCATAGGTAAAAACGGTTTCCGATCAATAACTAAAGAACCCTTAGGCCTAGGAACTTCAAACTTGGTATGGTGATTGGTCATGACCAGCAGATGACCCCTATTGATATTGGGGTTAAGGGGTCAAAGGGCAAGGTCACATTGACCTTGTAGGTAAAAATGCTTTCCAATCAATAACTTAAGAACCCTTAGGTCTAGGAACTTCAAACTTGGTATGGTGATTGGTCATGACCAGCAGATGACCTTTTGATTTTGGGGTCAAGGGGTCAAAGGTCAAGGTCACATTGACCTTGTAGGTAAAAACAGTTTCCGATCAATTAACTAAAAACTTAGGCCTAGGAACTTCAAACTTTGTATGATGATTAGTCGTGACCAGCAGATGACCCCTATTGAGTTTTGGGTCAAGGGGTCAAAGGTCAAGGTCACATTGACCTTGTAAGTAAAAACGGTTTCTGATCAATAACTTAAGAACGCTTAGGCCTAGGAACTTCAAACTTGGCATGGTGATTTGTCATGACCAGCAGATTACCCCTAATGATTTTGGGATCAAGGGGTCAAAGGTCAAGGTCACATTGACATTGTAAGTAAAACGGTTTCTGATCAATAACTAAAGAACGCTTCGGCCTAGGAACTTCAAACTTGGCATGGTGATTGGTCATGAGCAGCTGATGCCCCTCATTGATTTTGGGGTCAAAGGTCAAGGTCACATTGACCTTGTATGTTAAAACGGTTTCCGATCAATAACTAAAGAACCCTTAGGCCTAGGAACTTCAAACTTGGTATGGTGATTGGTCATGACCAGCAGATGACCTATTGATTTTGGGGTCAAGTGGGCAAACGTCAAGGTCACATTGACCTTGAAGGTAAAAACGGTTTCTGATCAATTAACTAAAAAACGCTTAGGCCTAGGAACTTCAAACTTTGTATGATGATTGGTCGTGACCAGTAGATGACCCCTATTGAGTTTTGGGTCAAGGGGTCAAAGGTTAAGGTCATGACCAGTAGATACTTGATAATCCTTTTTAATTGTTTGATCACTGGGTCAGAAGTCATGCATAATAACCTTATCACATGACTAATTGGCTGCTGATAGGGGGCATACATGTTTTACAAACATATCTTGTTATTTATTGCACTGTACTTGTGTTAAACACGATGGAGGCATTGCTCAACCACAGCTTGTTTTTGTGATGAATACTATGGCTACATTGCTTGACCATAGTCTTTGTGATTAATTTAATGGCCACATTGCTAGGCCACAGTGATTGTGATGACCTCTGTGGTGGAGATGCTCTATCACAGTATATCTGATGAACTGTATATTTTAGTTGCTGTACCACAGTATATCTGATGAACTGTATAGTGTAGTTGCTCTACCACAGTATATCTGATGAACTGTATAGTGTAGTTGCTCTACCACAGTATATCTGATGAACTGTATATTTTAGTTGCTGTACCACAGTATATCTGATGAACTGTATAGTGTAGTTGCTCTACCACAGTATATCTGATGAACTGTATAGTGTAGTTGCTCTACCACAGTATATCTAAGGAACTGTATAGTGTAGTAATTGCTCTACCACAGTATGTCTGATGAACTGTATAGTGTAGTTGCTCTACCACAGTATCTCTGATGAACTGTATAGTGTAGTTGCTCTACCACAGTATATCTGATGAACTGTATATTTTAGTTGCTCTATCATAGTATATCTGATGAACTGTATAGTGTAGATGATCTACCACAGTATCTCTGATGAACTGTATAGTGTAGTTGCTCTACCACAGTATGTCTGATGAACTGTATAGTGTAGTTGCTCTACCACAGTATCTCTGATGAACTGTATATTTTAGTTGCTCTACCACAGTATATCTGATGAACTGTATATTTTAGTTGCTCTATCATAGTATATCTGATGAACTGTATAGTTTAGTTGCTCTACCACAGTATGTCTGATGAACTGTATATTTTAGTTGCTCTACCACAGTATATCTGATGAACTGTATAGTGTAGTTGCTCTACGACAGTACATGTATATCTGATGAACTGTATATTTTAGTTGCTCTACCACAGTATATCTGATGAACTGTATATTTTAGTTGCTCTATCATAGTATATCTGATGAACTGTATAGTGTAGATGATCTACCACAGTATATCTGATGAACTGTATAGTGTAGTTGCTCTACCACAGTATATCTGATGAACTGTATAGTGTAGTTGCTCTACAACAGTATATCTAATGAACTGTATATTTTAGTTGCTCTACCACAGTATATCTGATGAACTGTATAGTGTAGTTGCTCTACCACAGTATATCTGATGAACTGTATATTTTAGTTGCTCTCTACCACAGTATATCTGATGAACTGTATATTTTAGTTGCTCTACAACAGTACTTCTGATGAACTTATTATGGCCATATTGCTCGATCACAGTGATTGAAATAAACTCTATGGCCACAATGCGTGACGAAAGTACTTATGATGAACATCATGGCCACATTACATGAATGTAGTACTGGTACTGGCTTCTATGGCAACATGACTTGACCATAGTCCTTGTGATGAAATCTTTGACAATGTTGCTTGACCACAGTACTAACATGTAAGACTATGGTCACATTGCTTGACCGCAGTGCTTTTGATGATCTCTGTAGTCATGTTGTTCTACTTAATGACCACATTTCTAGACAACAGATTTGTGATTAACACAATAGTCATGTTCCTTTATATCAGTTTTAAATATAAATGAAACATTATTTATGAGTTCTTTTTGTTTAAATAGTTCACTTCTACATCTTTAATCATCATCATCATCATCCATTGATTTTTACTTATAATACTCCCCGAGAAATTTCGGAGGAGCATATAGTCCTTGGGTTGTCCATCCAGAAAGCTCTCACTGTGGGTCGCCTCTGCTATGTTATCTTGCGTGTTAAATTGCAATTTAATCTAAAATTTGATTAACTTTGTGGCTTTATTGCATTCTCTGTTGTGTTTGATGTCTGATTTTTCCCTTCTACTAATCTATTGCACCTTATTTTCCCCTTCAAATAGCCACAAAATAAATTCACTTACACTGTCATCCACATACAACCTTTGTCAGAAACCATATGAATGTGTGCTTGCCAAGGGACTGTTTCATATGTATTTCAGTCCCTTATATAGTACATGTAATTAGGGTCCTGGGATTTTGATGTTACAGCATTGATAATAAACTCTTTTCTATAGGTAATCATAACATAAAAGGTTAGTCATTTTGACTAAATTGTAATTTTCAGATTTTCAAGAGTCTTTGGAGAAAGTAGAAGCTGCTGTGAAAGAAGCAAGTTTCCTTGCAATTGATGGGGAATTTACCGGTTTGAATCACGCTGGATTGACACATACAGCAATATTTGATACACCAGAAGAAAGATATCATAAACTTGTACAAGTTAGTATTATATAAGTTATTGTTCCTAGTATGAAAATTAATTAAGCAATGCTGCATTGTTGTTTTTTTTGAGGATTTTGTACAGAAATAGTTAGAATCTTAATTAAATAAGATTTACATTGAAAATTGTTTATGTTTGTGTCATTTTCTGTAAGGAATGGGCTTTTAATACAAACATTTTTTTATTTCTTAGGTAAGACCACCATCTTATTATTAACTTTATAAAAAAAGAGAAAAAAAACTTTTAAAAAAAGAAAATGTCCAGCTAGAGAACTTTGGATTTGTGGCACATATTTTCAGTAACTTCATCTATTGTGAATTGTAAAACCAGAATGAATGACGAATGCCACTTGTCCTTTACCATTTTAATCTTTCAATTATTTATAGAAATTATGATGTGGTTATTCAGGTTAGTTCTAGTATAGCATCATAAATGTAACTGTGACTGGATTAGAGTGACTATATCGATGTATCGTTGATATTTTTCTGTCAATCAACAATCGTACACATTTGAAAAAAATCGATTATTTTGATTAATATTTAAATGTCTATAAATTATGAAAATTCACTAAAAACATATACAAAAGCAAGTGGCCATGTCTAACACTAAGCTGTTGTTTTATAATGAACACATTTCATAGTAGTGATGACAAAATATAGTCAGAAAACAATCATGCAAAGTTCCATTAGAGACAGGACACAACATATTTGCATGAACAGAACATTTATGTTACTTAAATCATTTAAACAGATATGAAAAGTTTTATATACATGAAAATAAGAGTAGTGTTAGATATATATTGGTGTATCGCCAATATGCTTTGCACTGAATCAATGACAGCTCTAGACAGGATTATGATAATATTTTATCAGGTGTATAAATGAGTTGTTAGCTCGACTTTTTGAAGAAGAGGTGGAACTATTGTACTCAAGCTGGTATCAGTGTTGGCATTGGCGTAGCATTTTGGTAAAATTTTTGCATGCAAGTTAGTATCTCCATAACTACTGAAAGGTATGGGTTGAAACTTCACTTACCTGCTCCAGAGCATTATAAGATGTCACTATCCAAGGCCATAAACTCTAACATGGATTTTGACATAATTATGACCACTTTTTTCCTATAATAACCTGACTTTTGTTCTATTATCAGGCAATTAGAATAGTCGAGCACGCTGTCTTACAGCTTTTATTTTCGTCACAATATTCAGGACAAGTTGATGACAGGTGGCTTTTTTTGACAATGACATTCTAGTAACGTTTGATTATTTTTTATTGCAGGGATCGTGTGATTTTATGTTAATACAGTTTGGGTTATGTGCATTCAGTTATGATGGGAATACAAAGAAGTAAGTGAACCAAATTTGAGCTGTGTCACGACAAAACCAACATAATGGGTTTGCGACCAGCATAGATCCAGACCAGCCTGCGCTTCCGCGCAGTCTGATCAGGATCCATGCTGTTTGCTATCAGTTTACCTACTTGTTATAGGGTTTGTAAGCGAACAGCATGGATCCTGATCAGACTGCACGGATGCGCAGGCTGGTCTGGATCCATGCTGGTCGCAAACCCATTATGTTGGTTTTGTCATGACGCGGCTCATTTATTTTTCCATATCATGAAAGTTGATTAATTGTATTGCTTATATTAATTGTATTAAAGATTGTTAACTTTAATCTTACTGACATTAAATCATAACAAGTCAATTATGTATCTTTCCACAACTGACAAAAATCCAAATTAGATATACATTTGCAGAATGTAGAACAAAATCCAACACCTCATAATTTTATAGAGTGGACAAAACCCCACAAATGATTTTTATAGAGTGGACATAACACCACATTTTCTAATTATTTGTTATAAAACCATACAATTCATTTTATTTTGATCTTGAAAGAAAAGAACAAAAAGTATTTACTAAAGTTTGATACGTTATTATACTTTAAGTTTAATCATTTTATACAATTCCTTTGATCATGATAATTAATGGTATATAACATTTTATTTTAATATACAATATAATATGATTGAAAGGTAATAGACTATACAAATTAATAATAAAAAGGATGGGGTTATGTCCAGTCTAGAAGTAAAGGTGTGGGGTTATGTCCAGTCTATAGAATTAAAGGTGTGGGGTTTTGTCCACTCTATAAAATTCATGTGTGAGGTTTTGTCCTTTTTCTTAAATTTTGAGGTGTGGGGTTTTGATGTGTGGGTTTTGTCAGTCTTCCACATTTGCGTGGTAGCTAGTTTAGATTGAAGTTACTGACCGCATCTAAATAGTTGACAGATAATTGCTCCTTGCAGAAAAGTGGTTAGAGCAAGTAATAGAGTGTAACAAACCCATCAATTTTCTAAATAACTATCAAACTTGATACACACAAAAAATAGAAATATGCACATGTCATTTAAAGGGACTCCACTGAGGTTTTTTGTCATAATGGGACTGGAAACAATTTTTCGAGATTAATATTCCATCTGATGTAGGTCTAGACCAATAAGTTGTATTCAAAATTTCAGATCAATTGTTCACTCCATTTTTCTATAATAATTTTTATTCTGAAAAATGACCTAAAACTGAAAAACGTTGCAATCAAATTAGGCTAAGAATAGCAAAAAAAAGCAATTTTCAATTAATTTCTGAGTATATTTCTTAATTGTCTTTTGTATATCTTTCTGTTTTAAGTTTCCCAGCTAAACTTTGTAAAAAACAAACTTGAGTTTTCGGCCTTTGGACCTCAGTGGAGTTACTTTAAGTAATTTTATTTTCAGGTATACAGCCAAACCATTCAATTTCTACATATTTCCACGACCTTTCTCAAGAGCTGCTCCAGATGTCAGATTCACGTGTCAGGTTAGAAAACATTTAACTTTATTGACATTAATTAGCTGCGCCGTGACAAAACCAACATAATGCGTTTGCGACCAGCAATGATCCAGACCAGCCTGGGCATATGCGAATCCATGTTGTTCGCTATCGTTTTCTCTACTTGTTATAAGGTTTGTAAGCGAACAACATGGATCCTGACCAGACTGGGCGAATGTGCAGGCTGGTCTGGATCCATGCTGGTGGCAAACGCATTATGTTGGTTTTGTCATGGTGCGGCTCATTTCTTTTCATGCTCAGTACCAGCTGAAATCCAGCCATGCTCTGGCCTAACAAACTTTATATAAAATGCTTTGTTAATGTAGATGGACAGAGTTTATTGCCATAACATGTGCTAAGTTGTTCTTAACCATTGTCAAAGTGGCCAAAATTCAGACATTTAAGTTAAAAATAGAAATGTTAACGTCTTGATGTTGAGACCATCCTAGTACATATATTTGGATGTAATGAATTTCTGCCACACGAATTATAGACCAGGTTCAAATCTATATTTGTAGATTTGTAACTAGTCATCAGTGTGATTTTTCTTTCATTTCATGCATTTTGAATGCATTTAAATCAAATAATGCATGCTGTAGCAAAAGCTATATGTTTTAAATTATTGTCTGTTTTTTTATGCCCCCGCCATGTAATGGCCGGGGCATATAGTGTTACCCTGTTCCGTCCTTCCGTCATTCGGTCATTCTGTCATTCCGTCATCATCAGTTACCGTTCATTATCTTAGTAACGGTTACACACATTCAACTCAAATTTGACATATGGATATGTCATGAGAAAATACAGGTCAAGTTCGAATTTGGTCATGGTTCGATGATTTTTGGCAGAGTTATGCCCCTTTTACTTTAAAATTATATGAAATTTTCAGTTTCCGTTCATTATCTCCCCAACGATACAACACATTAACTCAAACTTGACATATGGATATGTCATGAGAAAATACAGGTCAAGTTCGAATTTGGTCATGGTTCGATGATTTTTGGCAGAGTTATGCCCCTTTTACTTTGAAATATTATGAAATTTTCAGTTTCCGTTCATTATCTCCCCAAAGGTACAACACATTCAACTCAAATTTGACATATGGATATGTCTTGAGAAAATACAGGTCAAGTTCGAATTTGGTCATGGTTCAGTGATTTTTGGCAGAGTTATGCCCCTTTCACTTTGAAAATAATATGAAATTTTCAGTTTCCGTTCATTATCTCCCCAACGGTACAACACTTCAACTCAAACTTGACATATGGATACATCAAAGGAATGCGCAGGTCAAGCTCAAATTTGGATTTGGTTCAATGATTTTTGGCAGTGTTATGCCCCTTTCACTTTGAAAATAATATGAAATTTTTAGTTTCTGTTTATTATCTCCCCAACAGTACAACACATTCAACTCAAATTAGACATATGGATATGTTTTTGGAATGCCCAGGCCAAGTTTGAATTTGGTCATGGTTCAATGATTTTTGGCAGAGTAATGCCCCTTTCACTTTGAAAATAATATGAAATTTTCAGTTTCCGTTCATTATCTACCCAACAGTGTTACATATTCAACTCAAATTTGACATATGGATATGTCAAAGGAATGGGCAGGTCAAGTTGGAATTTGGTCATGGTTCGATGATTTTTTGGCAGAGTTATGTCCCTTTCACTTTGAAAATAATATAGATACATCTTAGGAATAAGCAGTTTAAGTTTGAATTTGATCGTGGTTCAATGATTTTGGATAAACTTATCTTTCTTGAATGTTGGAAAAAATTTGAACTTTCAGTTTCAGCACTCATACTTTTGTGGAAAGTTTGAATTTGGTCGTGGTTCAATGATTTTGGACAAACATATCTTTCTTGAATGTTGGAAAAAATTTGAACTTTCAGTTTCAGCATTCATACTTTTGTGGAAATGTATGTAGCCATTATTTTGGCTACAAATATGAAATATGCTATTTTCAAAAGGTAAAGACTGAATAATTTCAGTGCTTTGAACATTGTATGAAAATGGTTTGTGTTAACATTGAAAAGTTTTAAGGGCTTTGAACTGCAAATGAAAAAAATAATTTGTGCAAACAAATTTGGAACTAAATATTATAACATCTGAAATTTTGGCTGCATGCGGGGGCATCCGTGGCATGATGACACATTTCTAGTTTATTATGAATCGAAAATATTTTACTTTGCTGTATTTCTCAGCCCTTACTATTGACGAGAAAGTTGGTTGTAACTATCACAGAAAAAAAAAAGCTTTGTAGCTGGATTCGCCAATGTTTTTTTAGGACACATTTCAAGCTCTATATATTAAATTTTTTGAGTGCAAGTTGGAATCTCCTAAACAACTAAAGGGAATGGGGAATGGATTGAAAGTTCACACACTTATTTGAGAGCATGATATGAGGTCACTGGGTAAGGCCTAAAACTCTTAACATGGATTTTGACAGAATTATGACCCTTTTTGAACTTACAAAAATTTACATTATCCAGGCACATGTTTTACTATCAAGCACTGAATATAGTCGAGCACTCTGTCTTTTCAACAGCTCTTGTTTCTATTTAGCCTATTTATAAGGTGTTTATGTTTGTTTGATTTTTTAGAGTTCAAGCATGGATTTTCTAATGTCTCAAGGGTTTGACTTTAACAAATGGATACGAGATGGTATAACTTATTTGAGGCCTGCAGATGAAGCCAGGCTAAAAGAGCAGGTAGTGAAGAAGCATGAAGTGTTTGCATCGCCAGCATTTATATCTCCGAGTGGAGGCTCGCACCCAGGTGGGATCGCCAAAGGACCAGTTGATGTTCCTCCAGAACAGAAAGATTTCGTAGATGACATCTTGTAAGTGCTGATGATATTTTGTTATTACCTGCTTCATGTAAAGTGTTGTTGTTTTGTATTTTTTTAGCTTACCTAAGTCAAAAGGTCTTGTCAGATTTTAGGATAGACGGGTAATTTTACATCCAGCTATTCCCTACTCACATATATCTTTTCCTCTGATGTTAATATTCAAAACTACTTCAGAATAAGCTTGTAATCTTAAATGGTCCTCTTTGAATATTGTTGATAAATACTGATGCCTTTTAACTGGCTTAGAAATGAAAACATTGCAAGCATTTAGAGGCCATGGTACAATGACTAGAAAGAGATTAAATCTTAGGGTACAATTGTCTTATGGACACATCTCATGTTTATGTATAAACTAGTCTGCATAAATGCATAAACATACTAGAAGTTATCAACCTATATTGCCTATTAAGCCATTTGTTTCCTATTATAGCTATGTGTATGTGACACAGATGAACTGTTATACAAGAAAATACTTTACGAACACTTCAGACTTATTCTACATGTATACATTATTTGCTAATTGACATACAATTATACACACATATCATAATTTATTTAATTATTGATATGTGTATCAGTCATTTTCAGACCAAGTGGGCCCAGGGCCCAGTACTTTCAAATTCTCGGCAGATCTCTGCTATTTATGATAGTCTGTCATACATGTATGTGATCAAAAACATGGGACGTCCATGGCAGAGTGAATAAGGTCATTAACTTCAAATCTCTTGCCTCTTAAAACTGTAGGTTCAATTTGTGCCAGTTTTCGAATTCTTTAATATGAGAATGCTATCCAACTAACTAACAGAATGTCAGAGGTTCTACTCAGCTGCCCATTTTTGCCTGAAATAGTGCACAAATGGGCACACAAGGTCTTCCTCCACCAGTAAAGCTTGAAAGTCGTCATATGACCTCTACTGTGTTGGTTCGATGTAAGAGCCAACAAAACAAAACAATAAAATCAAAAACATGCAGCCTCATAAATGCAAGGATATACCATAGCAATGCACATTAAGATTCTTGAATTTCAAATATAAATTGTATTGTCTCCTTTTGATCATTTGTAAAACATCTTAGACTATCAGGACTTGCGCTGCAAATTATTATGTCTCCCAAAATTGTTTGGAGACATATTGTTTTTGCCTTTGCTGTCTGTCAGTCCGTCTGTCTGCCCAGGCTATTTAGGGGACCATGTAACTGTAAACAGAACAAAAGACAATAAACAAAGTTCATTCCATGACAATAGAATAAGGGGCCATGGCCCTCTATTAAACAAAAGAAAATAAGAAAGGAAATGGCCCCTTCATCCATTTAAATGGCATGTCTGTCCGGTTGTCCATCCGCATTAAGCTTGTCCTCCCTTCACAGGTCAATCTACTGATGGGATTTCAACCAAACTTTACAGGTGTGATCAATACTATCCCTAGTTTTGCACAATACTGGCACATTCCCCTTCGCTGCACAAAATGGCCACCATAGCTGAAAATAGAAAAATCTTCTCCAGCCTTCTCAAACTACTGGTGGGATTTCAATCAAACTTTACAGAAGTGATTAGTACCATCCCTAGTTGTGCATATCAACGGCATGTTCCACTTTGCTGCACAAAATTGCCACCAGAGCTAAAGATAGAAAAATCTTGTTCTGCCTTCACAGGCCAAACTACTGGTGGGATTTCAACCAAACTTTAGAGGATTGATCAGTACCATCCTAAGTTGTGCATTTTGGTGGCAATTTCGCTTTGCTGCATAAAATTGCCGCCAGAGCTAAAAATAGAAAAATCTTTTACAGCTTTCACAGATAGAATTGCTGGTTGGTTTTCAATGAAACTTTACAGGAGTGAACAGTACCATCCTTAATAGTTGTGCATAACGCCGGCATGTTCCACTTTGCTGCACTTAATGGCCCCCAGAGCTTTAAATAGAAAAATCTTGTCCAGCTTACACCAGTCAAGCTGCTGGTGGCATTTATAGAAACTATATTAAGCATTTTGACAGAATTATGTCCCTTTTTATGCCCCCACAATGTGGGAGCATATAGCGTTGCACTTGTCCGTCAGTCCGTCCGTCAGTCCGTCCGTCAGTCCGTACGTCCCGAAATCTTGTGAACGCAACTCCTCTTAAACCGGATGGCAGATTTTGCTTAAACTTACAGGGATGAACAACCTTAATGTGTAGATGGTAGTAAAGGAAGGAATTTTCGCTGCGACCAAATTTAACAGAATTATGGCCCTTTGTTGATTTTTTCACTATATACTATGTAGAAATTTTGTGAACGCAACTCCTCTTAAACCGGATGGCAGATTTTGCTAAAACTTACAGAGATGAACAACCTTATCGTGTAGATGGTAGTAAAGGAAGGAATTTTTGCTGCGACCAAATTTAACAGAATTATGGCCCTTTGTTGATTTTTTTTACTATATACTATGTAGAAATTTTGTGAATGCAACTCCTCTTAAACCGGATGGCAGATTTTGCTTAAACTTACAGGGATGAACAACCTTAATGTGTAGATGGTAGTAAAGGAAGGAATTTTTGCTGCGACCAAATTTAACAGAATTATGGCCCTTTGTTGATTTTTTCATTATATACTATGTAGAAATTTTGTGAACGCAACTCCTCTTAAACCGGATGGCAGATTTTGATTAAACTTACAGGGATGAACAACCTTAAGGTGTAGATGGTAGTTAAGGAAAGAATTTTTGCTGCGACCAAATTTTACACAATTATGGCTCTTTGTTGATTTTTTCATTATATACTATGTAGAAATTTTGTGAACGCAACTCCTCTTAAACCGGATGGCAGATTTTGATTAAACTTACAGGGATGAACAACCTTAAGGTGTAGATGGTAGTTAAGGAAGGAATTTTTGCTGCGACCAAATTTTACACAATTATGGCTCTTTGTTGATTTTTTCACTATATACTATGTAGAAATTTTGTGAATGCAACTCCTCTTAAACCGGATGGCAGATTTTGCTTAAACTTCCAGGGATGAACAACCTTAATGTGTAGATGGCAGTAAAGGAAGGAATTTTTGCAGCAACCAAATTTAACAGAATTATGGCCCTTTGTTGATTTTTTCATTATATACTATGTAGAAATTTTGTGAACGAAACTCCTCTTAAACCGGATGGCAGATTTTACTTAAACTTCCAGGGATTAACAACCTTAATATGTAGATGGTAGTAAAGGAAGGAATTTTTGATGCGACCAAATTTTACAGAATTATGGCCCTTTGTTGATTTTTAGTTTTCAACTTGTGGCACATGTAGTCCAAAAAATATTTGACCTAGAGTCATAAGATTGACAGAACAGTGGCGTGTGAGGGCATCCGTGTCCTATGGACACATTTCTAGTTTGACTTAGAATTTACGTTCAAGTTTTTGTTACACCTCAAATTTTTAAAAAGTCCATATGACATATGGCTTTAAACTTTGCAAACTTGTTCACCATCATGCCCCCTATCTGTAGACAAGAGGAGGAAACTCTATCAAGCATTTTGACAGAATAATGCCCCTTTTTCGACTTAGAATTTACATTAAAGTTTGCATACCACCTCAGATATTTTCATATTCCATTGACATCTGGCTTTGAAACAAGTTGAAAATTTATACACTTCTTTGAGAGCATAATAGGACTCTCTTCAAGGCCTATAACTGTAACATGGATTTAAAAAAAAAAATTGCCGTTTTGTTAACTTAGAAAATTATACATTATCAAGGTTCTTTTACTTTCAAGCACTAAGAATAATCGAGCGTGTTGTCCAACCCACAGCTCTTGTTATGAACTATAATGCTGTTGTAGTCATTAAACTTAATTGTGTGCACTCCTTCCATATTGTTCAAATAAGAATTTTTATGTAATATAAACTTTTTGAATAAGTAATTGCCTTTATGAACATTATTATCAAGACAATTCATTTCCAGACTTAGCATAAAACATTCTTCAAGTCTTCCATCAAGATTTTTTACTCTTAATGTATCTGTAAAGGGTACCTTTTGTATTATGGTATTGTGCAATGAAATTCTGCCCAGAAACTTTTGAAACAGTGAAAAATTACTGATCCAGAACATGCTACTAATATGTATGACCCACCGTTGTTAATATAAATGGTCACTTCAAATAACAGCACTGCAAGGTAAAATAAGACATAAGACAATGATGAAAAAGATTCAACACATTTATTCTATCAAACTAACAGTCATAATTATACAAACAATCTTTCATTTATATGAATGATGAAAAAAAAAGTAATTTAGAACCTTAAGAATTAAAAACTAAAAATACAAAGTCATTAAAATGATGTACCGTTTTGTTTTGTGTGTGACAATAATTCTAATTCTTTATACACTAAATCAGGAATTGTGTTGTTTCCCTTTGTATAAATTGTAAAACAACATACAATTTCTAAATATAATATAAACATCAAACATATATATACTTCAATATTTCTTTTATGTGTAGAACTCAACTTGCTTCGATGGTTATCTTTGGTCTGCCTAGCTTAATTTGTCCATCAAATTTGTCACAATTCATTTTTGGTTAGAAATAGTAAACCGTTTAGGTTACAATTAGTGAATTAGTTGATAGATTCCCAACAATCATTGAGCCGCGTCATGACAAAACCAACATAGTGCGTTTGCGACCAGCATTGTTCCAGACCAGCCTGCGCATCAGGATCCATGCTGTTCGCTATCAGTTTCTCTACTTGCTATAGGGTTTGTAAGCGAACAGCATGGATCCTGATCAGACTGTGCGGATGCGCAGGCTGGTCTGGATCCATGCTGGTCGCAAACGCACTATGTTGGTTTTGTCATGACACGGCTCATTTTATGTAGCATCTTTGATTGCATGGTCACCTGTCATTTTACACTATTAACTTCAAAGCTAGCGAAGGAAAAAGCTCAGAAGGAAAAGCTCAGATTGCAGTCTACCAGTTTGAGGTGCTATTAAAAGAATTTGATAATAGTGTTGTGATGATAGGATTAACATAGAGAAAACCAGAACGTCCAAAACTGCACGATTAAAAAATATAACAGGGTTTGTTTTATTGAATCCGTTCATAGAGGGTAGTGGTAATTGCAAGCTACCATCCATGCCCCCTTGTGCCGGATTTAAAGCAGATTTAAAGATTTAAACATTGAAAGATGAAATTTATGATCTGTTAGAAACATCCACAGTTTTCATAGAACCTTTATTGATAACATTTTGGACACACTTAAACTCTTACACAAGAATATCAGTATTTATTAACATTGCAATCATTTGCTATTTATCATATGTATACACAGTACACTTAGATATAGATATATACAATATAAAGAGAAAGAATTGTGTGTTACCATGGTATTTTATGCCATATATAATATGATAGTCTGTTATACAATATTGGCACAACAGATAATATACATGTATTTTACAGGCAAAAAGTGACACCCATTCACTTCTAGTTGATATATATTGTGTTTTCTCCCTTTGATCAACTGTTTACAAAATAGATAATATATTTAAATAATATATTTATAGTCCAAAAGTGACACCCATTCATTTCTAGTTGATATCAAATATATATTGTGTTGCCTCCCTTTGATCAACTGTGAATAGAACATAATTATACAATATTGGTACAACAGATAATATACATGTATTTTTACAGTCAAAAAGTGACACCCATTCATTTCTAATTGATATAAAATGTACATTGTGTTTTCTCCTTTTAGACCAATGAGATTGCAGCTATATTAATTTTAGATCATATGAATAGATAAATTCCCAATCTTCATGCATACTTGTATAAAGGGTACTGGTTTCTGGACACCAATATATGACCTCATATGGAAATGAGATTTCATACTTCTTTTCTGTTTTACAGTCATCGCTTACTCTAGATATGAAATGTCCCCAATGATCGCCTACTAAAAAGGACCCGTCTCCTAACAGTGCAATGCTACGACAATCATCACTTTTATACCTGCCTATCATCTCCCCCTGCCAGTTAAACCATATAATTGACTTCTTACTGTCAGATACATAGATTGATTGACTGTTTGTATCAACATATTTAGGTTCCCATAAAATATCATCACCATTTGAATCTTTTCCTACTTTTTCGAGTACATTGCCTTTTAAGTCCATAATAAGGAGTTTACCAGGATGTAAAAAAGTTACTGCAAGTTTTCCCTGATGATGACTGATACCATGACACTGGCCACCAACTTTCATTTTACTTTTCAGTGAGAGGGTATTGGAGGAGAAGGAAATGTACTGAATTTTTCCACTACCTGGTATTGTAACAGCAATTGTATCTATGTTGATAACTGTTATATCCCAGGGTTGTGATTTAAGTGATAGTTTTTTAATGACTTTTCCAGCCTCTTTTCCAATCTCTTTGTCTATCATTTCAATATATCCGTTCTCCGATGCTGCAAATAATAGGTTTGGAGGAGAAGCAGCCAATCCTGTTCTCAAATTAGATTTTTCAACAAAGGCACCACCTGACATTTTTATTACTACTTCAGATTGATTTGGTGGCTCAGCTGACTGTTTTGGATTTTTATGTTTCAAAGTTCCAAATGATTTCTCATTCTGAAGGAGTGTTTGGATGGCTTGGTTTGGTTTGAAGACATATTCATCAATATCTTCAGCTGCTGGTAGTTGTGATATTCCTTGTTTGCTATCTATAATCAGTTGTTGAGCTATTTTAAGTTCAGTAAACAGTTGATCAGCTTTCTTGTTCGTGTTGAGATGTTTGAGTGAGTCGGCAGACACTTGAAGAGATTTGACAAGATTCTCACAAGTTGTTTCTGTTGTTGTCAACTTTTTGTTGTTGTCATGTTGGATTGTTGTTGCTGTATCTTTAGCCTCTTTTTCTAGTTCATTTAATCTTTTATTAATCTCTTCTCTGAAGTTGTCTATGTGTGTTATAACATCTTCAAGAGAAGTTATGGATTCAGCTACTCTTTGTTTTTGATCTTTTGTAACCTTGCAGCATTTTTCTGTCATTTGGTCCAGGTCTTTCAAAGTTTTGTTGAACTCATTGCTGTCTAAAGTCTGTTGTGATATATCAGGTATGTAGTCTACATGGCAGGATGGTGGTGTGTGTTGAAGGGCAACACATACACTGCACAACAGTGCATCATGCTTATGACAATACAGCTTGATCACTTCTTTTGTGTGCTTAGAACATGGCGTTGTCAGACTGTCAGCCTGTTTAGTGGGAGTAGATTTTGATGCAATGTGAAGGTTTAGTTTCACGGGCATGTGCTCTTTGTCAAGAAGCTGATGATGCTGTGATGGTTTAGGTTTCCTGTGGGTGACGAAACATGCTTGGCATAAATGCTCCTTACAGTCCACACAGTATCCAAAGGCAGGTTGTCTGACATCATCTCTGTCACATGGCTGACAGTAAACTTCAAAATCTTCAGCACAACCTTGAGAAAGGGTAATTGCCTTTTCAGATGCCTTTTTTCCAGGCACAGCCATAATTAACCTGAAATTTTCACCTATAATATTAAGCATTTTAATAATTTGCTTGCATATAATTATTTGACATTTTAAATGGATTTTAAAAAAAGTACTTGATTCTAGTTGTACATGCTTTTATTTTGGGTATTAACACAGTTTAACCCATCTCAACTCTCAGTCATGTCACTGAAGTAGCAAACTGAAAACCTTCCTCTGTTATAACACTTATGTAAAGCCCCAAGGTGAGGGGTTACCTGTAGGGTTGAGGCATCAGAATTGCAACCTCAGTTTTTCCCTGCATGATAGTAAGAGGCGACTAATAGGGTTTGAATTACAGGAGCCCATGCATTTCTTAGCTCAAGCAAGTGAGGCGCTTTCTGACCCTTGGTGTTGCTTTAATTTTGTAACACCCAAGATTAGCAAAAAAAATTTTTTTGATTTTTGGCAGGATTAGCAATGATACCCGACCCAAGTACATGAGCAAAAATAAATATCATTCAATCAGTTAAAATCATTTGAAATTAGAAAATTTGTTTTTTAAATAATTTAAATAATAGTTATAGATTTATAGATTTTAGTTGACGATATATCACTGGTGGATGTATTACAAACCTGATATATAATAATTACACATGAAAAATGTCAACAAATTGATTTCTCATTGCTCGACTTTTTAAAAAAAGTCATTGTTATAGTCACGGCAGTGTTCCTGTTCCCATTGACAGTCAAGGTCAATTATTGTCTTTATACTTGGCCACAACAACCCTTTGGACAGGACCATCAAGTAGGCTAGACTAAACCTTAGATTAAACTAGACCTTCATACTAAAATGACCTTGACCTTCAAGGTCAAATATCTAAATTTTGCTTGATTTTAACTTTATTATTTTTGAATGGATTGTCTTCAAACGTGAACACAACAATCTTTTAGGATAGACCTTCAAGTTAACCAGTTAGACCTTGACATTCACTCATGAATGACTTTGACCTTCAAATTGAAGGTCAAATAACTTAAATTTTATTCTTTTTTACTGAAATGGCTATTACTTGGTAATTATATGCCCGAAAGAATTTCAGGCATATTATGTTATACCCCCTGGCGTCCGTCCGTCTGTCTGTCTTTCCGTCCGTCCGTTAGCAATTTGGTTTCCAGAGCATAACTTAAGTTCCATTTGGCCCACAATATTCAAACTTCATAGGATGATTGTCCATATTAGGTAGAAGATCCCTATTGTTTTTGAGGTCACAAGGTCAAAGGTCAAGGTCACTATGGCCTTAAAACTGAAAACAGTTTCTGAACATAACTTAAGTTCCATTTGGCCCACAGTGTTCAAACTTCATAGGATGATTGTCCATATATGGTAGAAGATCCCTATTGATTTTGGGGTCACAAGGTCAAGGTCACTATGACCTTAAAACTGAAAACAGTTTCCGGAGCATAACTTAAGTTCCATTTGGCCCACAGTGTTCAAACTTCATATGATGATTGTCCATATTGGGTAGAAGACCCCTATTGATTTTGGGGTCAAAAGGTCAAAGGTCAAGGTCACTATTACCTCAAAACTATAAACAGTTTCCGGAGTATAACTTAAGTTCCATTTGGCCCAGATTTCAAATTTCATAGGATGATTGTCCATATTGGGTAGAAGACCCCTATTGATTTTCAGGGTTGCCAACAGACTTGAAAAGTCAGGGAAATCTGATATTTTTTCAAGGTCAGGGCATTGTCAGGGAATTTTGAAAATTGGTCAGTGAAGAATAAAAATCCTAAAAAGTCAGGGAAAAGTCAGGGAAAAATAATTTTGAAGAAATTTTGAAGAATTTTTCTTCTTTGTATAAAGTAAAAACTGGAGAAAAAAACTCGTTAACCTCTTTTAAGAGCTAGAGCTTAGATATTAAGCATGAAACATTTTGTACAAATAAAAGCCATCAATTGGGTCAAAATTTGCCCAGTCAAGGGGGTCATTGTTTTTCCTTATATGCTTATATAAACTTAAAAATTCTTGTAACAAACCCAAAAGAGCTAGAGTTTAAATATTAAGCATGAAACATTTTCTAGTGTGTGTCTACCAAGTTTGTTCAAATAAAAGCCCTTGGGGTCAAATTAAGCCCCTCCCCAGGGGGTCACTGATTTTCCTTTTATGTACATAGTAAACACAAAAAAATATCTTATTTGAAAAATCCAAAGAGGTAGAGCTGTGTTATTTTGCATGAAACATCTTTTATTAAGTGTCTACCAAGTTTGTTAAAATAAAAGCCCTGGGGTCAAAATTGGCCCAGTCATGGAGGTCATTGATTTTCCTTATATGTATTTATAGTAAAAACTAAAAAGTTTTCTTTTAAAAAAACAAAAGAGCTAGAGCTTAGATATTTGGCATGTAACATTTTCCAATGGGTGTTTACCTACTTTGTTCAAAGAAAAGCCCTGGGGTCAAAATTATTCTTGTTCATGGAGAGTTTTTATATTCAGATGAGCAATTTCAGGGCCATCACGACCCTCTTGTTTTTTATTATATTGGCTATGGCAGTATTCTGTAGCTCAAGATAATAGTTTTGCTTCAGACTTGATCTTATCAAAAACATTTTACTGAACACAAAACTACCAAACTAAGATGTATAAAGCATGTTTTATTGACCATATTGTTAAAAGCATTAAAAAAAACAACAACAAAAAACTTATGGGTGCAGGGCTTTTTTTCACAGGTTGGGGGAGCAGCCCTGCCCTTAATTTTGGGGATACATTAATGGTATATTTGCAAAAGGGGAAGAAAAAACTTGATGTAAATTATATTTTGTGGGAAAACTGCATGATTTTAAAGAATTTCTTTTTGTGGAAACAGTCCTATAATGGCCCCTGCTATAGAAGGAAAAAAAGCCATGGGGTGAATTGGACGGCTGTAGGGGAGGTGGAGACCGTTTAAGTTTGGTAGTTTTAGTCAGTGAAAAACCTAATTTGGTCAGGGAAAAGTCAGGGAATTTTATTTATCTATGATGCTGGCAACCCTGATTTTGGGGTTAATATGTCAAAGGTCAAGGTCACTATTACCTTAAAACTGAAAACAGCTTAAGTTCCATTTGGCCCACAGTGTTCAAACTTGATAGTATGATTGTCCATTTTGGGTAGAAGACCCGTATTGATTTTGGGGTCACAAGGTCAAAGGTCAAGGCCACTATAACCTTAAAACTAAAAACAGTTTCTGGAGCATAACTTAAGTTCCATTTGGCCCACAGTGACCAAACTTCATAGGATGATTGTCCATATTGGGTTGAAGACCCCTATTGATTTTGGGACCACAAGGTCAAAGGTCAAGGTCACTATTACTTATAAATTGAAAACAGTTTCTTGAGCATAACTTAAGTTCCATTTGGACCACAAAATTGAAACTTCAAAGGAGGATTGTTTTGTGAAGGAGGTAATACTTTATTTAATTCCCATGTCTTACAAATGCTTCATCTTTACTGAAAAAAAATCACTTTCGGGCATATAATGCTACGCCTAGCGGTGCTCTTGTTTATGAATAGATTGACTTCAAATTTAGACACATTCTTTAGGATAAGACCTTCATGTATATCAAACGCAAATTGACCTTCAATGGCTCAATTATGACCTGTCCTTGAAGATTAGTTTATTGAATTTCACTGATTTTTTATATTATTGACCATAACTTGGTAATTAATTAATGGAGTACCTTCATCCTTGAACCTTTTGGACAAGACCTTCTAAAAGGTTGAACTGACTTTGACTTTGAGTTTTAAATGACCTTGACCATGAAGGTCAAATTATTGCATTTTGGTTAAATTGTCATAAGTTTGTTATTTATGTAGGAATTCGAATTATACTTGCACAAAACAAGACTTTTTTCCAAACAGACATGTTGAATAATTTAGATGTGACTTTGACCTTTAACTGACCTTGACTGTCAAGGTCATATTAATGAAATTCTCTTGTTCTTTGCAGTAACTGGCTGTAACTTTTATTCATTAACGGATTTACTTCATATTGAGACACAACATCTCTTAGGTAAAGACCATGTGTGTCAGACTCAATTTGACGGTGACTCATGTTTGACCTTGACCTTGAAGGTTAAATTATTGAATATTCACTGATAATTGCTATAATTGGCTGACTGTTAAATTTTTGTAAAGTTAATTTTGTTATTTATGTATGAATTTGATTGATGCATGGACAAAACAAGACTTTTGACCAAACCAACATGTTGAATAATTTAGATATGAGCTCGACTTAAATTATTTAAAATTTAGCTCACCTGACCACGAAGTGGTCAAGGTGAGGTATAGTGATGGGGCTATGTCCGGCGTCGGGCGTCGTGGGTTGTTAACAGTCTAGCAGTCACAGTTTTGATTGGATCATCATCAAACTTTGTCAGAATGTTTGTCTCAATGAAATACAGATCGAGTTCGTAGATGGGTTATCTCGGGTCAAAAACTAGGTCACAGGAGCTAAAAATAGAAAAAGCTTGTTAACACTCTAGTGGCTGCAGTTTTCATCCAAATATTCTTGAAAATTGTCAGGAAGGTTGTTTCAGTGATATGTAGGTCAAGATCGAAGATGGGTCATCTCAGGTCAAAAACAAGGTCACAGGAGCTAAAAATAGAAAAAGCTTGTTAACACTCTAGTGGCTGCAGTTTTCATCCAAATATTCTGGAAATTTGTCAGGAAAGTTGTTTTGATGATATCTATGTCAAGTTTGAAGATGGGTCATGTCCGGTCAAAAACTAGGTCACAGGAGCTAAAATAGAAAAAGCTTGTTAACACTCTAGTGGCTGCAGTTTTCATCCAAATATTCATGAAATTTGTCAGGAAGGTTGTTTTGATGATATCTAGGTCAAGTTCGAAGATGGGTCATCTCCGGTCAAAAACTAGGTCACAGGAGCTAAAAATAGAAAAAGCTTGTTAACACTCTAGTGGCTGCAGTTTTCATCCAAATATTCTGGAAATTTGTCAGGAAAGTTGTTTTGATGATATCTAGGTCAAGTTCGAAGATGGGTCATCTCCGGTCAAAAACTAGGTCACAGGA